TATATATATGTATATATATATAAATTGAAGAAAGCTTTAAACTTAGCTCTTAACTGGCTCTAAGAATAAGTTGATTGCAGTATGGATCAAGTTGATGAATCTAGGGCCGATAAGGTTCAAGATTCTGCTAGCTTGTCGGGGAATGTGAACGAGCCTGATCGAACATCGAATACAGAGCACAAACCTGTGAATAACAACTTGTCATTGACTCCGAAGACAGAGCCGAATCAAGAAATTACACTTACTAAAAAGCACAAGATAGAAGACACAAATACTGAGGTTATGCCTCCCTTGACTGAGGTAGTTGGCGGTTCCTCGTTAAGGAGATACTTGAATGAACATTTGACATTACATATACTTGAAGGATTAAGAGAATTGAGCAGAGATAAGCCCAAGGATCCATTGTTTCATTTAGGGCAGTTCTTAATAAATAGATCTCAGGAGCAGAAAAACCAACGAGAAGAAGAAATATAATCTTTAAAAAACCTGGAGGGCTCTTCGGATTCGGAATCCTACAGCATCTAGAAAAATCACTCTTTATAATATGTAGGTAATTAGATAATTCAACTCTCTGTCTTACATACTACATGACTATTATGTCATTACCATTAAAAAGTTCAATGTCTTTTTTTTTATAAAACTCGAAATCAAATACATTATTAAGAAACAATTTAAAAAAACAAAAAAAACGCCTTCGCAATTGATAATTGTCTGCCACGGAAATAAACGAAGCGATAATGTCAAATTCTACTAACTTACGACCATATTATGACCATGATACATTCAATGCCGGCTATTCTGTTATTTTTAAGCCAGGCATTGGTTTGATTGATACCGCCACAGATAAACCCATTACATCAACCTTAGCAATGCCCGTTATAGAACAAGTGAAAAACAAAGGATTGAGCCCCGGAAAGGGACTTGGTATCACTGGTGCCGAATATTCTTATTCAAAAGGCAGTGAGAAGAATTATGTGTACGATTTAGAGTTCCAGGAATACTTTGATTTCAATAATCTTGTTGAGCTTCTCAAAAATTTAATGTGGAATTTCTGTAAAAATTATTTGAAGACCTTGATATCGCAGCCATTGGAGATTGTAAGGTTGGTATTACAAGTAGGTAAGCTTGATATAGAAAAGCCAACAGAGAAGAAAAGTTCGAGTCATTCCAGATTACTTCAATCGTCAATGACTGACTCATACGCTAGCGACTACACCGATTCAGACTCAGAACCTGATTATTTCCAAAGCACTGGTGATTCTGCCTCTTCACAGCTATCAAACAAGATCTCAATCCGAAGATCTTTAAAATTAAAAGAGTTGAACAAAATTCGTCCGACATCTAAGCATACGATGGATATAATATCAGCTATAGTAACAGAAGATGGCCCTTTCGCATTGTTCAGAGGAATTAATGCCTCGTTCATTTATCATACTTTATCGCATACGATTGAAGCATGGATAACCGGGTTTCTATCGCCCTTTTTGGGAATCCCTGACCCATTTTTTTTGGATCTCACCCATTCTACAGATCCCTTAAGAAGTCTTTGGCTAAGTGTTTGTGCATGTGTCTTGACAGGCTTAATTTTGATACCTTTGGATCTAATTAAAGTTAGATTAATGATAACTCAATTCAATAGACCAGCCTTAGAAGAGGAGCCATCTTCAAAAGAAGGCTCACAAGATCTAAGATCTACGATAGTCAATAATAGATCTATTAGGGAATCAATACGTCACTATCCTATATCTGCCTTATTTCACCCCCCTAAAACAGTTGCTATCTTAACTGCGCTTCATCAGTTTTCAACAAGCATTTTTAGAAAAATGGCACCTTACATTCTTTTCATCAAATTCAACATTGATGCGAATAGCTCCCCAAGCCTTTACACTGTTGTAAACTTAGCTCTGTTAATAATGGAGTTCTTCATTAAATTACCTGTTGAGAATCTATTGAGAAAAGAGGAAGTGAGGTTCTTGTTGAGCCCCAAATCTATTCTTGAAGATGAACAAAGGGTCATCACTATTGATAATCCTGATACCAATATGATAGTGGAATTCAACGATGCTTTTTATAAATCATCGAATGAACAAAAACTGACACTCAAAGAAAGAATACAAAGTTTAGAATTGTTTAATGGTTGGAGAGTTGGTGTTTTGAATGTAATTGGGTTTTGGGGCTATAACATCTTGAAGAGGAATGATTCTGAATTGAACCAAGAGAGATTATAAAACATAATCAACTAATGTATATATATATTAAATAACAACTCAGGTCATCTTTTAGCTGACATCTTTTAATGCGTCTACGGTTATAATTATTTAAAAAAGCTTCAACTGTAAGTCTTATGTAAAGTTTATACCAGTTCTAGACCTTGCTTTCATCTTTTCTATTCGAGCTTTCAACTGTGATGTGACTTCCGCAGCCCGTTTCCAGCTGTCATCGTTCATGTCTAAGACAGATAGTTCTTTACCTGTTGCTGTATTAAATGTATTTGTATTATCAACAATTTTGTGCGGGCTATTATGTCTAGAGAAGCCATTAATCAGATGACTATCTGCATTTTCCTTGAGTAGTCTTTCTCCATCTATCGATAACCTTTTGACTCTGGAGCTTAATTCACCGGATGCAGACCGTGGCCCTATGTGCTCTGGAGAAAGTGACTTCTTCGGCTCAAATTTGTCTTCATATAAATTATTCCTGCTTATTTTTGACTGCACTTGATTTCTTTGTAGCTTCATCATTTCTACAGTTTGTTCTAAATCTCTTATTTTCAATTTCGCGTTTTCTAAATCACTGTTCAACCTCAGAATTTGAGTGTCTTTTTGTTTTAGCATTAACTTTGAGTTGTTATGATCCTTCGAAAGATTTTCTATCTCTGCTCTTAGGTGAGATAGTTCCTGATTCAAAACAAGCTTCTCATCAGTTAGCTGTAATTGAATTTGAGAATCCTTCTGCTTTTGCTCGAGAAACGATTCCTTCTCTCTCCTCAATTGCATTAACTGGTCCTTCTCAACAGACGAGATATTTGACTGAAAATTATTGTTTGCAGAATTATTTGCAATATTATTAGCAATGTTAGTTGTATTATTAGCAGTAGTATATGATCCATTATTCGAAACAGGAGACACTAATGATCTTCCAGTAAGTCCACGGCCAAATGACGAGACTTTAGAAACGTCATCAGGACGTTTAACAGGTGAAGTCGCCCCACGTTTGGCGGGTATTGATGAAGACGAGTTGGAAGTGGGCTTTAAAGAGTTGGTGGCTAGTATTCCTGTTCTTTTCGATAATCTTGATACAGGGGCTACTTCGAATTTCGAGGATTCCTTTAAGATTGTTCTAGAATTTGACTTGCATTTGACTTCGACTTTTGAAGAGAATTCGATCACTTTGTTCTTTCTATTGTCGTCGATTTTATCTAAGAACGATTTGAGCTCTTTCTCTTCAGTTATTTTCATTAAAGTCCCGATAAGTTCAGTTGCTGCATGTCTTACTGGCTCTTGAGAGTCACTCAATAATTTCACACCAGCTTCCATTATCGCCTCTATTTCAGACCCTGTTGGAGGGATAGTTGTTGCAGCCAAACACCTTTGTAAGTAACTAGAAGATGCTATTTTAACTTGGGGCGTTTTATGTTTCATACCTTTGATCGAGTCGTCTATTATCTCAGATAAAGACGAGACGCTGAATAAAGCGTCTAAAGCGTCTGCCAACGCAGTTGCAGTGGAAGCCTTCTTTTCCTTGGTTCTCTCGATTATCGGTCCAAGAAGAGTGTGAATATACTTTGCAGCATCCTTCTTCAATCCCTGGCAGAGGAACTCAATACAGTTAGCGGCTAATTGAACCACCTGGAGATTCGCATCTTTCATGCATTTTGCAAAGACCCGCACTATTGAAGAGTAGTCATCTGGCGCCAATTTGCTTGTTTTCTCCAATATAGCGTGAACTTCTTCCAAAACTTCTTTGCGATCTTTCCATTTGTCTGAGTTCACTCGAACCATCAAGTCCAGAGGAAATTTAGAGAGTACCTCTACTGGATCAATCAAATCATAAGGGTCAAAAGCATTCTCCTGTGCTTTGTAATCTGACGGGCCCTTCACGTCAATGTCCATGTCATTGACAGGCTCTTCTTTGAGTAAAGCGGCCTCTTCTTCCTTCTTTCTGGCAATTTCTGCCTTTTGAGATCTTGTCAATCTCTTCTGCTCTAAAACAATAGAATTATCAATCGACTCAAATGCTTTTTTTAGATCCTTCTGTTGAACAGGTTTCAATGAGGGAAACAAGACTGTAACCAATGCACCCTTCATCCATTTGTAAAGTTCGACGGCCAACTCAGTAGCAGCTAGCCTGACGTTCCTATCAGCATGTCCAAACAATTGCTCTAAATGAGGAATAATAGATTTAGGCGAAATTATACCGCAACCGAAATTGTCCACAAGCACGGCGAGTGCAGAAACACAGCCAGAAACTAGTTTCGGCAAGCGATGCTTCAACAAAGATAAAATATCTTCGACTATGCCATTAACATCATTCGATACTTCCGTGAACAATAATAGACACTCGATAGTATAGTCTTTAGTATTCTTACGCGATGATGATAATGCCTTCTCACAAAGTGTTAAAATGATCCCCTGACTTCGTAACTTGGATACAATGGAGGGATTTCCTCCTACCTCTAAAAATTTCATTAAGGATTTAATTCCAGACTCTTGTGCTACCACATTTGGATCTGTGATATACTTTTTGAACACTTCAGGTTTGCTGATGTGTTCTTGCATGTAATCCTCACTTTCCTGTGGAGAACTATCGAAGCGTCGGCTTAGTTCATCATACGCAGTCAACCTGACCTTCCATACTTTATGAGTAAGTCGTTCACCTAGTGGTAACGATGAGTAGTCAGTCTCGTCAGTCATTTCAAATTGATATCTTTAACACAGATCGATATCTAACTTTGGTTCGATATTTTGAATGTTTTGTAAACAAATATTTATCACATGTACACGACATCTTCATAAGACTAATTGGATTCTTGAAGTTGATCTTAACTTTATCACATACCCTCCAAAAACATAATTGCTAGCCCAGCTAGCTTTGAATATGTGATAATACAATCTTATAGTTGTCAGGACGTTCACATTTTGGCTTTTGGTTGATTAACTGAACAAAGTTGGTTACGATGAAACTTTGTCTAATTTAATATTTGTTCTTCCTACGAAAGTGCAACACTGATTTTAAATGGTTTATTATATATTAACGTTGTCGATGCTACGAAATCTCTGTTCATTACTCTATGTGCTTTACATACTTTGCTTTTATGTCTTCATATGGCTTCAAATTATTAAAACCCCACTCTTCTTCGCCTGGTCTGTTTTCGTAATACTTTTGAATATTTACCCCATGGTATGGGTGATGCGCAAAGTTGAACCAGGGTATGATTGCCATGGTAGCGAATGAATATTGAGAATTTCTGTTAGCAATATCTTTTAACCTATCATCCAAAACTGACTCATTTTCATGATATGGCAACTTTTCTTGAGCCAAAAGTTTCTTAATTTGGTAACGGTCTTTCTTGACTTCTCTTGCGTTCTCTGACCAGCCTAAGAATCTTCTTGAAGATCTAATATAGGCAAAATAAAAGCCCCCGACAAACCCTAATAGCGTGGCAGCTCTCAATGCTCCACCTGGAATCCTTGCAGGTGCCTTGAACGCTCCTTCTCTAGGTTCTAACCTCTCCCATGCTTGTAAAGCCAAAGGGAATCCTGCAGTCGTAGCCGCCCAAAATCCGTAGTCTGATGGTCTAAAGTATGCAACAACTCTCTTGAAATGAGGATCAACATCAATTAGCTCATAGTCTGAATACGCTGGCTCCGATCTCACTGGCTGGTTGTTCTTATTATATGACATTTTCTTCCACCAATCTAACTTTAAGTGAATCCGACGAACAAACTACACTCTTTGACTATCATATTCAATTGTCAAATTTTGATTGGAAGTGAACGAGCATTTCGTGCGCTTCCTTATTATAGTTCTGCATATACCTCTTGGTAATTCTCTATCACGCCAAACTTACATCAAGCATAGTAATACTAAGAAACACTGGCATTTTCATTTTGAATAAGTAAAGGAAGCCGTGTCGGGTTTATCTTAGGATTCAATTCTTCTTCTTTCGACATGTTTCACATTCCGCCACTTATTACTAAAACAAGAACCCTTGATTCTATATAATATCAATCAGCGACGAACCGATATTCAGATTTCAGATGCGTTGAAAACTGGTACGCCTTCCACAGACTACCTGAAACCTACGAGTCTCTTATTGCTGTTTATTATAATTTTTAGACCGTTGTCTTTGGTGGGCCCTTATTTGATTATATGCAGTATTCTTATCATTTTATTGTCAATCGAGAATAAGGCACATTTAGTCAATTCGCTTATTACAAGGAGGACGACAATGCCGATAAGATTAGAGGATGGTGATATCGATGTTTCCGGTGATCTGGAATTGCTGCACTCCATAGATCACTCTAAGTTGACGAGAGCTGTTAATGGATTACGAATATCAAACATTCCAGCCTTAAATTTCATCATTATTTGGATATTGGGTACCTTCCTTGTTAAGTTGACTACCAAGTACACGGCCTTATATTTGAAAAACTCTTTGATAACAATAATAGTAACTAACTTGGTACTTTACGGAATCTCTGAAACCTTAGCGCAGTCCATACTTAATTTCAAACCCAATCAACCAATAATTAGCTTCAAAATGCATGAGCCTGCTATTCTTCATCTGGCATCGGATGCAACTGAGAATCATTTACCTCACGCTGAAGAAATCGAATTCAATAGATTCATTGAGTTTATCCAGGAACCTCAAATCATAACAACAGAATCGCAGGATTACGAAACTATTAGAAACACTCCAGTCACGTTAACTTTCTTTAACTTCAAGAGGTTAGCTGGCTTTATGTGCTGGGGCTTCATCATGGCGTTTGTCCAATGCTGGTGGTATAAATTTTTACAAATTTATTCTAAGGATCCTAAGTTCATTGAAGTTTTGAGGAAAGTCTTGACTGACCAGTTACTTTACTCTCCAATTTCGTTATTCTGCTTCTTTACCTATGGTACGATGGTATTAGAGTACGGATCTTGGAATGACGCCAAGGTCAAGATGAGCAAAATTTATCTCAAAACATTAATGGCAAACTTCACCGTCTGGTTTCCAGTGCAGTTTATCAATTTCTTGATTGTGCCACGTAACTACCAGGTTCCTTTTAGCTCTTCAATCTCGGTATTGTGGAACTGCTATTTATCCATGAAAAATTCTAGTGGTTAGATGAAGCAATCAAAATTACATATCGCATTTATATATACATAGAGGAATTAGAATATCCATTGATCTTTCTCACCGAGCTACTTAATTTTTTAAGGTAGGCAGAGCTGGAGATTTGACAGATTTGAGCTAAAGTATAACCTGCGTCTATCAATGCATCACCATCGATCTTTTCAAAACCAATTGGGCCCTCTGAATTTAGAACCAAAGAAATGCATTTCGAATTAGACAGCTGGCTCAATTTTGAGATCAAAGAGGCGGCCGTTCCAGTTACAAAGTGAGGAGGCTCCAACTTAGGAATTGTTTTCATAGCCTGCAAACTGCTGAAGTTTGAATTAATTAATAATTTGCAAATAGTACACTTATAATTAAGGCTGCCAGGACAAACAGTTATCCAGTTCTTCTTTACCTTTGAATCGAAATTATTGATCAAAGCTCGGGCCAATATGTGATTTGTTATAACATTTTTGAAATGTGGGACCTGTACTGTAGCAAAGTTATCAAACTTTATGATGTCAATTGTAACTTTTGGATAATTCAATGCTTTCATATGTGCTGCCAGATACATCTGGTTGTACTCATCATAATCTTCGTTATCAATATCAAATTCGGATTCGTGGTCTTCTAATTGAGGGTAACTTATTTCCACCTTTCCAATCTTTTTTCCTTCTTCCAAGCTACTGAGAAGAACTTCTGTATTCTTTGAAAATAAGACAAAATAATCTACCAGTACGTCTAGCGATTCAATTGTTATCTCAGGAATTGGACCCTCTTTGGTATCGTAATCGTCTTCAAGGGCATGCCGTGATGGTGCCTCAGCATTCCAAGGTTTGAACTACTGACTGTTAGAATCAACAATAGATATGCGATGCCCACATTATATAGATTACTTACCAACATGGTGACAGGCTACTCTTTATTTATATTTATGCTTTTATTTGATTTTTTCGCCACAGCTTACAATTTTAATCGAGGACGATCTCAAAATTGAGCATTTGTTCAACTTTTCAAGGCATACGATAGTCGCAACAAAAACATTCTGACATAACACTAATTCGGACGTTCTTTATTTGTCGTGATGTTTAGATCAAGCATCGCAAAGAGAGTAAGGAGTATAAGGTTTTATCATGCTGTGGATCATCCGAGCTCTAATCTTATAATCAATCCTGGTACGCTTGAGTCCACTATTTTAACGAAGTCATTAGAGTACGTTCCTAAGTACGGATTTAAGGAAGACAGTATCACAATGGCAATAAGACAACTCAAATACCCTGACTCGCTCCGTTCTATGCTAACTGGCATTTCGTCAGGCAAATCTTTAGAGTACCAATTGTCCCTTTTTTGGCTAAAATATCAACGACAGAAACTCAAGAACGAAGTGGAGAATAGCAGTAAATTTCAGACGATCGAGAACGAGTACGATAGAGTAGCGTTCCTAATTAAGAAAAGGCTAGCTTACAACGCTCCCGTAATTAATCTATTGAGTCAGTGCCTTTCACAATTAGTCATTCCATATAATATAAATCAATCATTAGAGGAGTTAAGTAACTTGAGTGATGACATAGCCTTTTATTCTGGAGACCAGTCTGTGGATTTCAGTTGGTACTCAAAAAGACTTAGTTTGTCGTCAATTTATGTGTCGTCTGAATTGTATATGCTACAGGATTCAAGCCCAGGCTTTGTTAGAACAAATGAGTTTGTGGATGATAAAGTTGAAAAGCTTGTTTCCTTAGGCAACTCGTATAATATTGCTGAAGAATGGGCTTTTTTTAATGCAATTAGTTTGGTTAATTTGATAAGGTCGCAGCTTATAAGAGGTTAAGTGATATGCAGATTGAAGATTATATTAATTCGAACTATTAAAGGTATATATTAATGCAAAACGAAACTTTTCGCTAAAATGGGGCTACTTGTTCATATTTGATCTTAATTCTAAGATTGTGTCTCTAGTTTTCTCAATGCTCTTCTGGTTATCCTCTATCTTTTTCTCTACCCTACTTATTTCATCTTCTATGAACTCAATACGCTTTGATACATTCAACTTTGCCTCGCTATAATCCTGCGGCATAAGTATGGGTCCTGTGAGCTTAAAGATTTTAGATTCGTCATTCAAAAGATTTAACTCCTCCATAACAATCTTGTTTTCTTGAAATTGTGTTTCTAGCTTGGATCTGGAAGAAATTAGGTCATTCAAAGTTGTCTGCTGATTACTGAATTCAAGCGAGAGCTTTTCAAATTGCTGCTTAGGATCCGACATGATTCGTTGTTTTTAATATTAAATTTTACTTCTCTTGTTGGTTTGGTATTTTGCATCGACTTTTTACTGAAGTACTGAAGTAACACAAAATCAACGCTTTTGAAAGAACTTGAAACATCTTAAGACAATTATAAGGGTGTCAAGATTATCAGAAGCTGCAAAGCCTTTGATTACAAAAGTTGAAAATTCTCATATCCATAAATAATATAATGACGTATAAAGGGTATTCTTTGTTTTTAAAGTAATTAGGAAAGAAATGAATGTAGATTAGAAGACAAAACAAAATAGTATCAACTGCCAGTGAGGTACCAATCTAAGACTAGGACAATACAACCATTACAAAGAAAATGGAATTTCTTGTTTAACAAACTCAAAGCCTCTATGTGGGAAATATGCTGTTGTCATTTTCGTTTACAATGATTTCTGTAACACACACTTTGTACGTCCTATTCGTAGCATCACCACCATAGTCCACACTTTCTTCGTATTCATTGTATTCATCGACGAGGGCATTGTTGAAGTCATCGATCTGTTCTGATTCACTAGGTTCAGAATACACATCGATTGAGTCGTCATCGTCTGCAATAGCATTTTCATCGCCCGAAATGAAAAATGGAGGCTTCGGATCATGATAAGAAGTATGTCTCCTTTCAGCAGATGTGCCTTGTTTAGCACTAGATGGAGAATTCAGTTTTGAACGGGTCTGTGATTGTAACTGTGAACGCGAAGAAGAATTTGAACGAGACTTTGAAAAGCTCAATGCTTGATATTTCCTTTCATTAGCTAGCGATTTCAGCTGCTGATAAGGCGATGCAAATAAATCTTGATTGAATATGAATCCTTGGCACTCTTTTAAGGATATTATATTATAACTTGAAGAGCTAGAATAAAAGCTGCTTGACTCATAAACAGAAAAATTTTCATTCTGAATCATTGCTGGTGATAGTAAAGAATTTCTTTTGAACCATGGTGAGGATGTTGATGCAAAGGATGAGCTCCTGCGCTTTATCGTGGCTGGATCCGAGATCATTGATTCTCTGCGACGTACGGATGAGCTAGAAGTTGACTTCCTTCTGCTTTTCGCCTGTGCCAACGACGATGTTCTAGAGTCCATTGCAAATGTTTTTTAAATCTAGGGACCTTTAAAGGAATATGTTCGATAAGCTTATTCAAGACAAAGAGGGATTCATTTAAGGATTTCAGAACCTCACTTTTGGTAAGGTCTACAAATTGATATCGGAGTTCGGTCACATGATTGCTAAGATACTACTATAATAAAGATTACTTTCAAGTCCATGTTAATATATATACAAGCAAATTGCTAAATGCTATATCATAATATCGTTTCCATCCAAACGAGTTAGAAAATGAGCGTTGCTGCCCTGAACTGTTCCAGAGTAGCCTGTAGAACTTAAATTCTAAATTCACTTTTGTAAGAATATGCTGTTTTTTTCTTTGAATTTGTTCATAACGTACAGTAATCCCTCTCTAGAGTTTGGCATGTTTGAGGAAAAGTTCCGATGACCCCAATGTTCTATTCTTTCTTTGAATCCGAAAAAATTCGAAGAAAACTTAACTTTCCATTCAACCAACGTAGAAAGAGAATGCTTGCCAGTATATTTGAGATACTCTTCAACTTTTATAAACTTTCTGTGGTCTATGTTAGCACTATAGCAAAGCATCTTATTCGTTTTAGGGTTGATTAGCGATTTTTCAATAATCCAGGAATTCAAGTTATCACCTAGGAAAGGCTTAATAAAGTTGGGCAAGCGACCTGTCTTTACGACAAGTCTAGTGGTTCTCAAGCACCCATCACTATCGACATAACTCTCTAGCGTATCGCTACTTAATACATGACTAGCATATGGATTCGGATACCTGTTTAAATAAGCAAATGAGGCAGTCTTGAAGTCATGATCGTATAAATGTGAGTTTTCAAAGAATCTGACCATTTTGATCCCTAAAACTGTTGAGAAACAGTTAAGCTTAGATCCTTGTAATGCAAAAGTGTGTTTGAGCTTACAAATATTAATACTAAGTGCCACTCCGGCAAGCTTACAATTGCCAAATTTTTAGAGGCTGCACATAAAAAGGACGTGTATGTTAAAATTAATGTGTCAACTTTTACGTTTCAAGTTGTTCCCGAGAATAGCGTTAATAGAATCAATCCAAAGCAGATCGATAACAATCCTTGGTTATAAGCTCAAGACATCTTCTAAATTGACCAGGTACTCGGGGTCTGGTATAATTCGTCTCTGTCTCTCAGTTTATTTAATTAGTTATGCCTTCTTTCAAATTTGGGATAACGAAATCAACCTCGCAATAAGATGCTTGAAAGTAGCAGATTTTCTTGAACGCTTCTCAGGTCTATAACCCAAAAGTTCCAAGTTGTGCTTTTTGAGAATTTAGTTACCTAAATTGGATCTTTGAAATAAAAATGTCCCACACAAGCTTTCTCTTCCTCTGGGATAAGGATAATCAAGTTGAATAAGAGATTAATTTCTTTGATAGATCTGTTTCGTTTTCTGATTCTTATCTTTAACTGCCTAGTGCTTTAGTTTGATGTTAGGGTTTCCTTCTTATGATTGGAACTTACAGTACATCTAATTTCAATTTTGCAGCTTATATGCGAACATTTTAAAAATTTATGTTGTAATAATTATGTGAATCTGAAACCATTTCGAAATAACACTCTAAAGTATTAAATATGGAAACCATTGTCGTCTGAGTAGTACATTAATCCTCTAATAAGTATTTGAGAAGAAACAGACAGACATTAATATGAAGGAAATGTTAGATCAACAATGCAGCGATCATAAGATTGGAACAACCTGTTGCCAAAAACTTCCCGTACAAGAATCACTTATTGAGTGCTTGAACAGTTTGTCAAAATCTAAGACAAGCTATATACTCATTACCAAGGATGGTTCAGAGCACCCAGTAAACTTTCTGGTCTCCTCAGGTTTTACGGAATCACAACTACAACAGATTAAATCAATCATTGAGAATCCAAGCGACTGCCTCAAAAGTTCAAACCTATGTCAAATAAAACCGGCTTTGAAGATTGTATATCCTTTAGAACTTTCACGTAAGACAACTGAGCACTTAATGAGTCATTATGCAGATTTGTTAACTTCACTCAGCCAGGCAATTTGCAAAGAGGTTGCAAAGCAATGGATTAAGGTCGCAGAACCTAACAAGCAAGCTTTATATCCCTACAAATACTACAACGAATCCAAGCCACCATGGTGGCCCTCAACAGTTAACCACATTGAACCTGATCATTTGGATAAATCTGGCCGCATAAAGGTACTCATTAACATATTAAGAAGTCCTGAGTTTGATTTACTGTCATTGAGAGCTAGAACCAGCGTCCTTAACTTTAAAAATTTAGTGGCTTACAACATATTAGATGAGCTTTACTACCTTTCAGCATATGATAGATTATTCTTTGATCAACTTAGGGAAGAAAATCCTTTGTATTCAAATTTGTCTTCCGAGGCAAAAGAGAGCTTCAGCTCACATTCAATAAAAATCATGGTTAGCGACGTTAGGGCATGCAGAATATCACAAAAGAAATCAGGTGTTGTAATGATTAGTCAAATTAAACCAGAGCTAATAAGCAGCAAGGTCTATGAGGTAAATCAAGATACCACACTATTCAAAAACTTGAATACCACAAGCCAAAGTAATATTAATCATTCAGTTTTCTTGAGGGAATTTCAAGGAGACGAAAATCTTTTTACAGAAGATACTACTCACTTATCATTATCCAAGTCTAGGGAACAGCTCTTACTAGAGCCTTCGGTGTCATCATCCCTATTTGAAAGTTTACCGCCAAAAAATGTTTCATCGGAAAATGGCATGAATGATTCTCCTAGGAAGAGGAAAAATGCTCGTACAAGCTTAATTGAAAAGGCAGAGAAAAAACCAAAAACTGGACATAGTATACATAAGTTGGCCGACGAAATAACCACAAGTACACAAGATCCTAATTATGGGTATTATGGTGACTCAAAAAGAAACCTTTCAATTAAAGAAAGCAAAACCACAGTAGGTGTTTCAAGTAATCACTTCACTTACATGTCAGATGCAAGCACCGAATCAAGCGAAGAGTGCAACACGTCACTCTCTTCGAACTTTGATGAAAGTGACTTTTTCAACTTTGGTGACGCTGATCATGGCCTAGAGCTTCAATCAGAGATATTTTCTTGCTCTTCCCAATCCTCGGATCAATAATCTTGACCATGTCATGACATATAATTCTAGCTATTTGTGTGATCAACAAAGTCTTTATTTGGCCATAAAATACAATGTAGAGGTCACTTGTTGTGGCGATCTTTGTGGCAACAATTAAAATAGTCTTTTATTTTTATCTTTTTTCGCAGCCAGGTTTGTAAACTTTCTCTCGCAACGAGTATAAATGCAGCAGTTAACCACAGATGCCTCGACTATAATTAAAAGAAATACTTTTAAAATACAGATTCTCTTAGCTAAGATTTTTGAGACTCAAAGCTACAAATTCCACTATGACATCTCAGATTGAACCAACTGCTGCTTCCGTTGTTTCTGCTCCTGATGGAGGTGCCGCTTTTCAACGTCATTTCTCAGCACACTGCAAGGAATACCCAATATTACTTTCTACTCGGAACATGGTGCTTTCCCTTCCATTATCCCTGAAAATTGCTTCTACAGTTGCTCCTCACTTGAGCTCAGTAAGAGAGACACAGCCCATCAAGACAGTAATGGACAAAGGTGACCTGATTGCCGACGGGGCTTTAGGTAAAATTGACAAGCACATTCCTAGTCTTAAGACCTTAGAAGTCCATGACCTCACTGATCCAGTAACAAGACCAATCAATGGCGCTATCGATAGCGTCAAGGCCAAAAATGCTATAATTGTTGATAGCTTACTGAAGAATCTTGTTGAGCCATCAGTTAAAACTGTGAACGAAATTAAAGGCAAATTTCACTCTACTTTATATGATGCTGAAGGAAAATGTGTTATCACTAGTGTAGCAGACCCAATGGTCGCTCCAGTTAACCAAAAATTAGATCAGTTGGTCGAGGCTCATTACCCAGACATTAAGAAGGTTCCCAAAGAAGGTCAATCGAGTGAACTCTCTCGTACAGCCCAAATTGTGTATAACTTAGTTACTAGAGCACACAACTCACCGGCAGAGACGTCAGAAGAAAACGAGAGTGCTCCAAAGGTGAATGAGCAGCCATCTAATAGTGAAATTTGATTTTTAATTAAGGGGTTCGCTAGATTGTATTGTTCCTCTAGCTATCTTGGCGAACGAGTCTAGTTACTTTCTATAGTCTTTATGAGCTTCATAAAGCTGCTAATAAAATATACTATATTTTTATATCGAGACGCTGCAATGCTTGAAGATCAGGTAAGGTTACGATTATAACTGTATAACATGCAATAGAAATATAAAAATAATCTACAAAGTAAATAATAGAGATCGAAAGTAAAGCAAGTTTTTTATACAAATCTGGCCATCAACTAGATTCCTTTGTCTTCTTCTTCTTCTTCTTTGGTGAATCTTCTTCAACGGCTTTTCGCTTTTTGTCTTTCTTATCTTTCTTTTCATCGTTCTCTCTCTTTTCTTTCTTCTCTTTCTTTTCCTTCTTTTCTTTCTTGTCTTTCTTTTCTTTCTTTTCTTTCTTTTCTTTCTTGCCCTTCTTTGCTTTGTCAGTCTCAACCTCTATATCAACTAAGGAAACATCATTATCTTCATTTATTACACTGTCAACGAGATCATCACCGACCAATGCTAGAGCCTCTTTAATGGCATCCGTGTTTTTCATTGGTGCAGATCCAGTGTCATAAAAATTCAACCGTTCCTCAACCTGTTTTTTGAGGACTTGTCCGAACACGTTAGTGGGATCATCACTGTAATTATCAATTCTTGAGGCAATGGAGCACTTGTTTGCTAAATACCTTGAAATCCTTCCTTTGTTTTTTGCGGCTGCTTTTCCGATAAACGAGGAATGATAAATCAAACCGTATTTAGGGGTATTACCTTTAGTCTTCAATGCACGGAATAAAGCTTTTTCAGCACCCAATATCTGGACCGTAGAGGCTGCCTGTTTGGACAAGTTTGTTAATGATCCCGCATGTGAGATCAATCTTGCTCCAACAACTTCTCCAATTAAACATGATAAATTAGGGGCCACTGTATTCATTTTTTCAGTCAAATAAGAGTATAAACCAGTTCTGTATTCGCTTAGCTTCACTACACGCTCGGCAAAAGTAGAAACATTCTTCATGTCATCTAAACTGATATCTTGACCCATAGATATTCTAGCATTGTCAATAATTCTTTGAGCAATCCCCGAGTCTTCATTTACTAATGCTGATATATCATGTAACAGATCATCAGAAAGCGATGCCTTGTCTTTGATCAAAAGAGTCAATCTAGCATACGAATAGTTATCAGGGACAATCTTTGCTAATTCAGGAAAGTGCCATCCATACCACTCTTTCACTCTCATGGAAAATGTATTGATATCTTTGTCCAACTGGTCTAACAAGGCAATCGCTTGGATGATATGGTTATCATTTTTCTGGACTGAAAACTTGACTTTAGCTCTTGAAAATGCGTGACCTAAACCTAACTGAGCTCTTTCAATGTCACCTTCCTGTAAATCTTTCAATACCTTAGGTCCGTGAACCCTGATACCTCTCAAAAAATCTTGAACTATTTCATTTGACAAGCAGTCGACATAAGGAAATATTTCTTTGATTGAAGGACCCAAGTTCTTGTCCGAGACTCCTAATGTAATTTTATTCTTTCCCGAGCTCTTGGGTAAGTTCAATTCTAAAACAGATTTCAAATAATCTGATACCAAACCTTCAGAAATATCATTAGCGTTTTCAAGGGCTTGAGCAGCTCCCTTGAATGGAGCAAATGAAACTAATTCAACCATCTTAGAAAATTTTGATAAATCATTTGAAGCTTCCTGTATTTCTTTCAGTCTCGCTTGGATACCATCTTGTTGGATTACAACTTTGAATATAGCATATCCGGTTGCTTCTTCAAAAAGAAGATAGTCAAGACTTCCCATGTCTGTCTTTTTTATCCTACTTTAGTATTTGGCAGCGCTACTTTAATTTTTGTCAAAAGTGAAAAATTTCTCCGTCCTCATCTCCTTGAGGTGCACAAAAAAAAGTTGTGTATACATTAGTGACACAAAAGGTGAATGTTCGTTTACTAAATATCGAAATACAAATATATGCTAACTCTAAGCGAAGTTGATATCCCAACCTAATTCCCTCAATATTGAATGCCAGTTAACGAATTTATCTCCTTGTGGATTATCAGACCAAACCCTATCGATCACCATACTGATATTAGTAATATTCCAAGGCCCATACAGTTTGACAAACCTCCCAATTAATTCTCTTATTGCATCTCTATGACGATTAGTTATACAATGAATGCCACAAATGAACACAGGAAATACTAGAGATGCCTGCACGCGTGAGCCAATGAGTATGTTAAGGCATTTCATTAATGCGTTGTTCAAAACTTGGCATTCAAGATATGATGGATTGCACATTAGAACGGACTGTTTCAAGAACAACTTTGCACTTATTTGAAAAGCTTCAAATAGCGTTAACTGTAGTTCCAAATCCTGGTCCGTCAAATGAATTAAATCATTCGCATCCGGTTTTGAATTATCTATGTCATTGAGCAAGCTGGTTCCTGTCTCTATAATACCTGATAGTTGAAGTATCAGTTCATCATCGTTAAAGCTAGACTCTTCATCTGAACATTCAGACAGATTCTTTCCATTATAGTATGATTCTGAAAACTTCCGACTTTGAAGAGCCAAATTGCCAATGTTTCCTATTAGAATGTATAAATGTTTTGAAATGCCAAGCAAAGGATCCAAGTTACCATTTAAAAGCCGTTTTTGTTCCTTGAAGATTCTGACATAATCATCCGAAGAGAAGAATGTCCCTTTTTCGCTCGAATAAGTAGCTAAAAGGTCATGATAAGCAAAATTCGATACTATCCAATTCTCTTCTCTAGTTCTGTTGAAATTCAAAAGTTGACGATTGGAGTGTAATATCTTTGAGCCCCATTCAAGATAAAGGGGCCATTTTTTTACATCACCGCGACATATCTCGGCAGCACATAGAATCAAAAGTGTAGCTAACTTGTTCAAGATCGCTTCCTTATAATTTGTTACTGATTTGCCTTCGATTGTAGTAACGTGTAAGTGATCAAGCGATTCTTCAACATACTTTCGGCCCTCATTTGTCCACTCCCCTCCCAAGTGGAAACAAGCCCACGCCAATATTCCTTTCAACACTCCATTGTCCTTCTGTGCCAAAGGTAAGAAAACATTTTGGTATGAGTTGGAATCATTTTGAGAAATTGGTGCTATTGAGACCTTCGCAGATAATATTTGAACGTAGTAATCATACAAGTAGAGAGCACTTTTGGATAGTTCCGGAAAGGGTGAAGGAGGAAGAGTTGGAGATGGGCTTATTGTGCAATTAAAGTTAGCAAGTAGCTCATCGAATGTAGAACTTGAAGGCGAAGCGAGAGCCTGGGTATCAAAGTTTCCGAAGATTTCAAACAAATTGGGAGATACGATTTCATCAAAAAAAGGTGGTGTTCCTGTATAGCCCAATTCATTATTCCTACGTACTTTTTTCTTTGTATCATTTGAATCTCGTCGCAGCTCAATGAGGGGAAGATTTAACATCAAAGAATTTTTGGAGGAGGATAGTACCTCTGTGGAAGGATGATTTCCAAGTCGTGTTTCTTTATGTGATGACGAAGAATACTTCATATTCTTTGCCAGCAATAGATATCCGTCACTACCATTACTCTTAAATGGCTCCGTCACGACCTTTATGTTCGCCTTTGTATTAAGAATATCATCCAGAATGTCCCGCATATCCAGTGTATCTTGAATTCTACTCTTCCTTTTTCTGAGTTTAGATTCGCTCTCTTCTTTTTCAATTTTTTCCTTCAAAACTCTCATCTCTTGCTCGGACATTGCACATGGATCGCTCCAAGTGCATTCTTTACCTAGTCTTTGACAATCTGAACAGACGGGTTTAACTTCGTTGCACTTCTTCTTTCTCACTTTACATACAAGACACCCATTTCTAGATCTATTGGAAACTTTGTGTCTGGAAAAATCATTTCTACTTGCAATAATTTTCATCTTACCATCAGACTGTTCGTGGTCATAACTTTGCGGGACATCAAAAAGATCATCAGATTTGATCGGCTCGTCATTTTCTCGCTTCCGTTTCTTGGAATCTCTTTGTTTTGAGTAGAATGTCACCAACATCTATCTAGTGTCGGTTCCTTTGAATATTATACATGGGGTTTCAAGATAAGAAAACGCTTATAACACAAAACTCTTTTAGTAAAATGTAAAAATGTAAAAATGTAAAAATGTCTAACATCACCCTCAATAGGCTACATGTCGCCAAACCGTACCACCGATTCCGATCAATCCTGTATCGGCGTAAATTTCAACACGGTGGGAGAACTTTCTATTGGTTTCTAATTCTGTATGCAAGCCGTGGTATTATTGCGGCAAACCATCACCTTGATTGAACACCAAATCACTAGTGTGATTCTAAAACATTTCAAATATAGACCTAATACAACTAATTTTTTTTCACGGGATAAGAGTTTGCCGTTTATTAATTTCGAAGGGAGATATATATATATACAACTAAGTTTCACTTTACTTGATGTCTTTAAAACGTATTAACAAGGAATTAGCAGATTTGGGGAGGTATGTATTACACGGATTTATAATATCGCTCCTCTAGCGCCATCATGAAACTATCACAGTTTGATAGTAGCATAGAATGACTTAGCGTCTCAAGAATCAAGTATACTAACAGCTCATTTGTAGGGATCCACCGTCTTCTTGTTCTGCTGGACCCGTAGGGGATGATTTGTATCACTGGCAGGCGTCGATTATGGGACCGCCAGATTCACCTTATGCTGGCGGGGTATTCTTCTTGTCTATCCATTTCCCAACGGACTATCCATTTAAGCCACCTAAGATTGCTTTCACAACAAAGATTTACCATCCAAATATTAATGGTAACGGAAACATTTGTTTGGACATTTTGAAAGATCAGTGGTCTCCTGCCTTGACCATTTCGAAAGTCTTGTTATCAATCTGTTCTTTATTGACCGATGCGAATCCTGATGATCCGCTTGTACCTGAGATCGCTCATATTTACAAGCAAGACAGGTCTAAATATGAAGCTACAGCTAAAGAATGGACCAAGAAATATGCTGTTTGAGATCTGAAAGCAAGAGAATAGGGAATTAATAAATAGGATTATACACTTAGAATTTGTTCTTATTCTTTTCTAGTCTATCTTCTAAACGTATAATGTTTCTGGTAGTCGTTGGTTTATTGAGGCTCAATTACATAGATAATATCATGATTGCATCTTAAGCTCAGATTCCTTGTAGGCTCCCATTCGAGAAGTTTAAATTGTTTGCACGACTTCGATATTTACACCTCGAGATTATTCACTGCGATACACTAACGCTTAGGACTACTAATCAATTGAATAAGTTAATATAATATTGGTAAACCTGAATCTATAGGCATTCGTTTATATCTGAACGTCATAATTGGGATTTAGGAACCGATTTTATTATTATTCGAATATCAAGAGGCTACTACTTTTGTGTAACTAATATAACAACTATTATTACAGTGCTTTGTCTTGTGGGGGAGCGTCCACTTAGATTAAAACATTCTAGGGATACGCTGTTATAAGAAGATTGGAGCTGAGGCAGAGAATATGGAAAAGTTAACAGCTTTTCAGCTAAATAATCCTCGAAAGTTATACTTATTGGCGAAAAAACTCGATGAGCGACGGTATTTCGAAGTTTTCTTGCATGATTCCCAAGCGAAGGTTTTACACTATATTCTTTCAGCTTCCTCTTATGATATATGGTATAATTTTCTCGAGGGTAACTGTGTTCTCAAGTATTTCAAAAATGAGGATATAGATCTTGAAGATGCCGTTGAAGAAGGAAACCAGGCTATCAAAATGCTAGCTTTGCATATACGATATTTGCTTTGGGAAAAGGCAGTAGATTACTATTATAACTCTGACAGCTTGGACGGCTATTACATTGAAGAAGTCTCTGATGACTATGAGCTCATTGACCAATTGGATGATCTTAGTGATGATCGAAAAGAAAACAGCGAGCAAAAGATAATCGAGACTACATCGCAAGCAGTACGGGAAGAAGAAGAAAATTACGATGATGATGATGATGATGATGATGAAGAAGAAGAAGGCGAGGAATCACATCTGAAGCAACAAAATGTTCCAGCTTCTGAAGGAAAACAAGATAATACGGAAATCAAATATACTGAAGAAAACCAAGTAATTTTAGAGATACCGACTTCAATTTTTAAAAGTGAGAGTGAGCTGCATGTCAATCAAGTTTCGAGAACTGATTTTGAACAACCTAATAATGAGGTTGCGATGAATGATCAAGAGGCACTAATAAAAGAATTCAACAAAGTCTACCACAGTTTTGAATACGATCGTGAAACGCTCATCAAGCGTCGGAAATTGGAGAAAAGTGACATGAAATTGGAAGAATCGCAAACTATAACGGAAAAGGATGCTGATTCATCCTCTAACAATATGAGCATCAATTTGGGCCCCGCTTCAACTTCATTGCAGCATTTGTTGGAAACTATTCAACAGAACAGAGATGAAATTTCTCTTAATGACTTTGAATTGCGAAATCTCTTCATGGATGTCAGAAAAAGTCGGGGAAAGTGGGCAAGTGATGAAAGGGTTGGTCAGGAAGCACTTTATGAAGCTTGTGAGAAAGTTGTTATGGAACTACGAGGTTATACAGAACACTCGACTCCATTTTTGAACAAAGTATCGAAACGGGAGGCGCCTAATTATGGTCTCATTATTAAAAAGCCTATGGATCTTAATACTGTAATGAAAAAACTTAGAGGCTTGAGTTACAATTCAAAGAAAGAGTTTGTAGATGACCTTATGTTGATTTGGTCAAACTGCTTGACATATAACGCAGATCCCAAGCATTTCCTTAGAGCTCATGCCATTGCAATGCAAAAGAAGACCATCAAATTAATACCAAAAATACCGGACGTTACGATCAAAAATAGGACCGAGTTAGAGAAGGAAGAAGAAAATGGCGAGCTAGAAAGTAGAAACGATTCTCCTGACCCTGTTTCAGGTAAAAGTTACAAAAAAGGAAGAAAAAGGGCCAAAGAGCAAGATCAGGTAGTAAAATCAGAGCCTGAAGAACCTTCGGAAACTCCAGAACCCGTGCAGTCAGCTGTTGGATCCAAAACTATTCAAAGTACACTGGCTGCTGACTCTGCGGCTGTAGATCAAATTGAAGAGGACGAAGATGACGATGAAGACAATAATGATGCCGCTGACAATGATGAAGAAGAGGAAGAGGAAGAGTTTGATCCCGAATTACAGGCATGGAAGACATTAACCGCAAAATCTAGAGCTGAGTACTGTGCTCAAAGGTCACAGTTGTTTGACGCATCATCAAAGTTGAATATGAGCGCACCTGCAATTTTACGAGGATCGAGGGCCATGAACAATTTTAGCCACTACTTAGCTAATCAGGAAGTTGTTCCAAAGAGTGGAAATTTAATAGAAGGAGAGGAACCTTATTTATTGGAACATGATATTACTGGAGGCGTCCCTGGTCTTTTGTATAGAGGAGTTGAAGAAGATGAAGAAGATAGGAGAGAGCAAAAGTTGATTGATTTTGACCTAGGGCAACTGAGAAGGAAACATTCAAGCTTCGTTTTGCCTACCGACTCAGGTTTGAATAAGTTATACTTTGAAAACATTACAGAAATTCAAGAGATTAGAAGGATATGCTTCAAAATCTCGTTAATAAGACAAATGCAAACCCAGCAGTTCGTTCATCATACTCAAATGAAGCAGCCAGAGATTGAACCAATAAAAGAAGTCGACGTAGATCCTATATCGCGGCTTGCAAACCATGATCCTTTTACTCAAGAAGTTCAATATAGCGTTTTGAGAAGAAATGTGAGCAAGATAGCTATGCAAACAGGATTTGAATGTACAGAGCCCGTAGCTATTAATACACTTACTCAGATTGCCGAGAGATTCATGAGTAATCTTATTAAATCGTTGAAATTGCATTCTGAGTCTAGCTCTTCAAATAGATTAACGAGTCGCCAAATATTACTTCTTTCGCTTCTAGAGAATGGAATTCAGAAGCCCGATGATCTCTATACATTTGTTAGTGAAAGAATTGTGAAACAACAGGAAAAGTTAAAGGCTTTGCGAACAAATTTGTCTAATTTTTTGAAAGATTTGTTAAGACCAGGGTTAGAAACTTTCAAAGAGAACAACTTTGAAGATAATAGCGAACAGTTTGTTACAGGTGACTTTTCAAATGATATTGGGGATGATTATTTTGGTTTCAAGGAATTAGGATTAGATAAAGAATTCAAGCTATTAAGTTCTTCTATTCCTATAAATTTGTTGCATTCAAGGCTACAGAATTCGTACACGAATAGTGATAGCGTCACGAGGCAACAGAGATATGAAGATTTAATAGAGTTTGAGGTGCCGAGACTAACGGCTGCTGATATCGATAATCAAATAGGTTTATTAAAGTCGTTTTATCAAAAGTTACTTGAAAAGTCAAAAACTCTTTTCATAAAGAATCAGAAAAAGAAAGGAGAATCGACAGAATTGCCTGATCCCAACCTGCTCCTCTTGATCGAAGATGAAGAGTTACCCCAGAAACAGAGAAATATAAGACCGAGACTACCACCTACTGGTAAGATTGCATCCGTGAAAAAAAGAACTATTGCAGGATCTTTCTTTTTACCTGACGATGAAGGTCTTATAGATCAGACTCACAAAGGAGAATCTGCTATGGTATAGCGAAACATGCTATTCATTATCTTTAGATGTCATGTATTTATGTAGATTAGTAGATTGAATATTCTGTGCATAAGAAATCTTCGCGACTATTGAACTTTATTTTAACGTTATCAGAAATTAATAAAATATTAGGAAACACGAAGGAAGGCAAATGATTCTCATTCTTTAACATGAGCGCGAGTTCAGATACTGAAGTTAAAAAGCAGTCACTACTGCTGACGATTTCAAAGTTGTCTAAAAATGAGATAGTAGGGAGAGACATATTTGGTAGAACTGTTCTTCATATATTAATTTTAACAAATAGGCTTGATTTATTGAAACATCTACTCAGAAATAGTGAAGTTAAGAAAGTTTTACCACTAGCGGATTACGAAAATGGCTGGAATTGTTTGCACTATGTTTTTTTCTACAAAAGGATAGCTTGCTTTACATTATTATTAGAACAGCTAGGGAACAATAATAGCTTGCAATCCAACACTTCCTTTTATGAACTTATGAGGAGCAAAGATAGAAACAAACTAACACCAATACAACTATTAGGCAATGATTTCAAAGATCTTTATTGGATACCTGAATATATTGATGAGAATAACGAGTACCATTTACAACATCGGTTTATTGTGAGCGAGGGTCAATCACTGGAAGGAGCCAACAAGGAACCATCTGCTCGAAGAACGAAGAAATCTGAATCCAAATGGCTGCCAGAGTCAAGATGTGGCTCAGACATCTATATGTATGGGTCTAATATCAATAATAATTTAGGCGTGGGAGATGCCTCAGATCGGGCAATTCCTTCTCGCTTGTCACATAAATTTTTCAGAGTTAATGTCAACGAACAAGCTCTGATTTATGAAAAACTACAAAAACCAAGATATAGGTCGGTAAAGTTATCAAAAAATCATTCTTTGGTGCTCACAAAAGACGGAAATTTGTTTTCTTGTGGCGTGGGTTCTAAAGGCAGATTGGGCCACGGGACAAAAGATTTAGGTAACGATTTTCGATTTAAGCTCATAGAATTTTTTCATTACAGTGGTCTCGGATCTCAAACATGCTGCCAACGAAAGAAAGTGAAAGAAATAGCTATTTCCAACCATCATTCAATTGCGTTGACTTCGGATAATGAAATATACACATGGGGATTAAATAACTTCTTTCAGTTAGGGCCCCTGGTTTCATGTTCAGCTTCTGCTACGTTGGGTGGGTTTAAGGACCAAAAGGAGGCGTTTGATGCAACACCTAGAGAAGTTTTATGTGGCGATTTGAGGCGAAATACTCATTTCATTAGGGGAATTGCTGCCTCAAATGTTCATTCTTTAGCTTTTGCGAAGAATGACATATTTTTTTGGGGATTAAATCTAGGTCAAATGGGGTTCACTACAGATGTTGGTAAAATACACGAGTTTAGACTGAGGGCCACATTGTATAAGGGAAGAATTCAAGAGACTCCCAAGAAGATATCATTGAGAGAGGATATCAAGTTTGTTGAAACTAGCGAGACCTGTACTTGTGTGATAACAACTAATAATGAAATTCACATGTACTTCCAGCATCAACATTATAAGCTTCCCAAGATACCAGCCAAAGGGAATCTTGAAAATAATTTTGATGTATTCAAGCCCACGAGGTTAACACAAATGATCAGTATTGAAAAAGTTGCCTTAAGGAATCATCAATCTATTGCTCTTTTGCTCGATAATGGTGATGTTGTAGGATTCAATTTATCTCAGGATGACTTCAGAAATACAAAATACAATTTTGTGTGGAAATCTTATGACAGCGATATGCGAGCGGTCGACATTGACGTATCTGGTGATGGCTCGATAATTCTTTGCACCAGGAATGGTTCCTTATTCCTCAAATCAAATCAGCCAAGACTGCGAAAAAATTCGATGGTTGAATCGTCTAAATCTTTGGTTCCTTTATTTAAGAATAAGTTCAGAAAAATAGAAAGTATGAATAAAGTTACGAAGGTTGCTTGCGACTCTGATTTTTTGTCATTTGCGTTTATCCGAGATGAAATTGATGCATTACCTTTTAAACTACAGAAAAATGATTTTTTTAAAGACATTGAGTACCTTAGTGCCATTAATAATGCGAAGTGTGATAGGAAACAAGAGATGATTCTTCAAGATCCCAGTGCAAATGATAATTATGTTACAGACTTTTTGTATACTAGTATAGTCAGAGATAAGAATTCCTCGCAAGGTTCCGCCTATTCACGAGATATTCAAGGAGAAGAACAGCATGAAGATGACGAAGATGAAGAAAAAGAAGAAGGTCACGAAGAAATCAATGACTTAAAGTGTTCTTTTGATTTACTCTATCGGAGACACATCAGTAGATATGATTCACTGACCCATAAGAGGACAACGGTAAGGAAAACTTACCAGAATTCAGTTTCAAATGGTGTTGCCTCAAGAATTCATAACTATTATTTGGATAAGGAGATGGAAATTATATTAAAGAGCTTAACGAAAGGAGATAGAGATTATGATTTTGTGATAAAAATACTCAATATCGATGTTTCCGTTCCTTTCCATAAAAAGATATTCGAAAAAAGGAGCCCCTTTTTTAATAAAATTTTGAACAAATCTTTTAGCGGTAGATTTGACGAAGGTGGCTTGACGGGGCACGTAGATCTTATTGAGAAGGTTATAATCATTGAAAACCAAATCGATATAAGATCATTACTTATATTCGTATATCTTGTCTACACCAACACAACGTTAAGCATTTGGGATCAATATCCCACTGGCTCAAATTGCCCATCTGAAATAAGGGTCGTGAAAGAAGGCTTTGAAAGTCTTTTGCATTTGTCTCAACTAGGAAACAGTTTTGGAAAACTACCTAATCAAAGACAGTTTTTGAAAGCTTTCGAAAGCATACTCGAAGAGAACGACGGGAACGTATTAGTCAATTTAAAGGATGGTCTGACAACTTGTTACTCCCCTATTCTTATCGCAAGGTCTGCATTTTTTGAAACAATATTTTCAACCAGATGGACCACCAATATTTATACAATAAACTTCGAGTCATTCAGCCGATTTCAATTTAATGTGATTTTGATGCATATATATGGTAAAAGTAATCATGATTTATTCAACATGTTTAGTGAAATACTGAACAGTTGTGATGATTTTATAAACCATATGTTGGAATTCATAGAAATTGCCGACCAATTAATGCTCTTTGATTTGAAAGATCTTTTTCAGCTAGCTATTAAGGATCTCGTCACTTTGAATAATGTTCTCATATTATTATTGCATGCAAATAATATGAACGCAAAAAAACTTTTCATGAATTGTTGTTGGTTTTTTTACAACAATCTTGAGATATTGTTGTTCGACCCCATGATCAAGGAATTACCACTTGATGTTTTGAAATCTATGGAAAGGCATATGATTTTTTTTCAACGATGTAAATCAGTTGATCTTTGGAATTCAGGACATGTCACTGGATTATACGAAGACAAAGGTTGGTTTAAAAATAATTCAACTTTTCTAATTTCCTCATTTCTCTTCAATCGCATTGATTTCAATGAGCTTTTTATAAGTGATAAAAAAGGATGTAATGGCTTTGAACCATTAGTAGAAGCAAAATATGAAGAGAAAAAGTTTGATTATAAGCAAAAGAATAGAAGTAATTCAAGGAAGAGCTCATCTAATGGTTCCGACGTTGATATATTCAGAAAATTTGCTCAATCGGAAATACGCAAGGCGAATGAATCTGCAATAGACGAAAGCTTTGAAGAATTGGAACAGGATTCTAAAGGGGAAAGCTCTATTCATAATGCATCATCTACAATAATAACCCCTAATGAATCACTGTCTGATAAAGAATCATTTAAAATAAATCGAATACGCACAAGCCCTGAAACACCTCTCCTCTCTAAAGAAAATCAATCGGCTTTGAGCAATCCTCAAAGAAAGAATTCAACTCCTATTAATGCGTGGAATTCTAAGCCGGAGACATGCTACATAGAGAAACAACCGATATTAGGCAAGGAAGTTTCTGCGAATACCAAGGGTTCTTCTAAAGTGAAGATAGGTCCAACTATGCGTTTATCACAAAAAGAAAGGAAAAGGTTAGCAAGCTCTAATTATAATTATAGTTGTGAGTCTACAACCAGTGGTAATACGTGGTCTATAGATGGGCAATACTCATCTGGGAGCTCTGAAATCTCAGTGAGTGAAAAAAGTTCCATAAGAAAGGATGAAAGTAACCAAAATCTAAGTAAGGATCACGAACCATATTCCTTGAACCCCAAAGAAGAGACTACGAACGTATTGTCACTAGCTGAGGTAATGCTCCAAGAAGCGCTTAAGGTTGAAGAAGCTAAGGAGATACAGAGAGAACGTCAGTCGTTGCAAGATATTCAGAGGGAGCAAGAATTTGCGAAGTGGTGGGAAGAGGAAACTGCGAAAGTTCAAAAGCAAATGATGCCACAAGAAAAAGGAGACTTGAAAAAAAGTAATAGACAAATTAAATCAAAGGCCCCGAAGAGAAACAGAAATAAAGTCATCAATTCTTTACCACGGTCTTCTATGAGCCAAAATTTAAAAAATGAAAAGTGAAGACTTTTTAGCATTTTTATTTATAGTTATAGACTTGTATCAAATAGAACTCTTTCTTTACCAGTTATTAATTCATTACAATATTAGATTTCAGCCTCCTCAGGAAACCATCCAAATTCATCTAGATCTATCGAATAGCTTTCCAGAACTTCTACGCCTTCTGACTTCAAAATACGCGCTTGATCAAGTTGCCCCTTTGAATTTTCCCTTCGTGATATCTTGCCACTGCTCAGAACCACTCTCCACCATGGTAGGTTCTTCAAGTTTATTTCAATGTCATTCACTTCGTTTAGCTCCTTTATTATGTATGCACAGTGTTTTAAGGATGTGCCGACCTGTCGAGAATTTTCAGGCTTGCCCAACAAGTACGCAATGTGACCTGTAACAGTTAGAAAAATCTTTAAGAATGGAGACGGATAACTTACCATAACTTGTTACATGTTGCCAAGGTATTTGGCTCACAACATGATAAACAGCACAATGGAAAGCCCTGCTTTCATCATTGAGCTTCATAGTATTTAGAAATGAACACAAAATTTACAATAAAAATTTTAAGCTGAAGTCCCATTAAAACCTATATAACATGCCTAATATACATTATAGACCAGTACCGGTATTTACCAGAATATAAATCCATATATAATAAAAGCACTTACAAAGCTAATAAAGCACCAGCAGCTAAAGCAGCAGCACCGGCAACACCGTATTGGCCCTTACCAGCAGCAGCACCTTCCCAAGTGGAAACGTTAGCAACGCTAGAAACTGGAGCAACAGAGGATGATTCCTCAGCTGGACAGTTGGTGACTTCTGGACCACATGAAGTGATGGTAGCCAAAGTGGTAGAGACATCAGTCTCAGTGACAGTGTCAGCCTTGACAGCGACGGCGGCAACAGCGAATAAAGCGACGATTGAGAATTGCATTGTAGTAGTTAGCGAAAGACTTGTAGTTGGATTAAATTGATCTAATGATTAAAAAAAGTTAGGAAGAAAAAAGGTAGCCAGTGTCCCTATTTATAATTTTCCATGAACCTCATTCTACTGTAATCGAGCCGCCTCGACAGAGTGATACTGCAATTCTCACGTTGTGTCGATTCAATCAAAACAATTGCAAGCTGGGATTGTATGTTCGCATGCTCGTTTAAGTTAAAGGTAAATATTGACAATACAGTTCGCTATTAAATTTAGCTTCGCGGCCAGCGCGTTTCGTTTCTAGACAGTGCAGCCAGCGAAAAATTTTCACAACCGCAGACACAAGATCAGAGATCAGGGCCTGGCCAGACACGAGCCGTGTTTTTTGGGAGACTGATCCAGTAAACGGGTTTCTCGTCTAAGGACTTCTCGTGAAACAAGACGGCATATAGTCTGCTTTTCTATTACGATGCCAGTTGTAATCTGGCTGGCCGCGATTAACAAAAGCAAGCACTGCTGACTTTTGAAAGAAGATGGAATGGCTCTCTTTATTTGGTATGAAATATACACATGAACGCTACTTAGTTATAAGGTGGGGTTACTTCCTGATAGCCGTGTTACTCGTGCAATTGTATCCCGGTTGCCAAACCCAGCAGATGTTGATCAAGCTGGTGATCCCTCTCTTCTATGGGAAGTTCCTCCGAAATAGCGGAATGGTCTTCCCGAGAGTCGCTTTCGAAGCCTTTCACGAAGTCGGCGAAATCAGACTCTAATATTCGGGAACAATAGATTAACAACCGATAACGTTTTTCCATAACATGAGGATCGAAATCTTGACCCAGATCTTCATCTAGATTTCGATCAAGATAATTTAATTCTTCCTTCGTAGCTCGGTAGCTAGAATGGTAAGTAACCTGAAAATCAGTTGAATGTTTCGAATTATATCTTATTAAATGTTCATGCATTCTATCCTCCAAATGGTTTACAAGGTTTTCTAACTCATTCATCTCGATGTCCTTCTCCTCGTTCAACTTGTTTTTAATTTCTGAATGTAATGATGGAAAGAGAGTCAAGATTTGAATAATTATGTCCTTCCAAAGATTAATTAAATTATCTGTAACCGTGAATGTCCATCTTCTCTTTTTGATTAAATATTCATAATCTCTTGTCCTTGATACTGAATGCTTGATCAACCGATTCGTCAATGCTTCAATGACATTATCAGCGAGTCTTATTCGAAGGCTTTGAGTGAAGCGCAAGGTACTAGACGTAGTTCTTAACAAGATATTAACAGTCCTTGATACTGTGCCAATATCTTCATTTTCTGGCCATATCCTTTCCTCTATCCAGTCCAATATGAAACTATTTGAATAAAACAAGACATATAAAACACCTAAAAGCAAAACTATGACAATATTTTGCTTCCAAAATTTGAAAAGTATTTGATTAAGACCAAAGACATATACGAAAAAAACAACCTTGAACATATTAGGAATAATGACATGGAGGTTCCTACTAAGAAAACTTATCATCCCTCGAATAATTGATACAGAAATGTTAGTAATAAAACCGGCCGCGTCAGCATTACCTCCCAGGCCCTCGTTGGATTGAGGATGCTGAGTATTATCAATCGCATTTTGACCATCATTATGAATCAACACTTTCACTTGCTGCATCAATGATCTTTTGTCGGAGCCTTGGAATGTATTATTTAACCTTGCTGCACCTGAGGGGCTCAAGAGTAAATATGGTTGATGCATACTGTTGTCCACTATAAAACATTGTGAGCTGCTTAGTGAGGCACTTTGCGTTTCGTTCTCAAGATTCAATTTTATATCGTATATAATAGGTGAAATATCATGCTGCGAAACCAACAAGTCCTTTGAGTTGCCTCCTGTTGAGTGTATCCTGTCAAAGGACTCACCAGTCAAATTCCATTCATTGCCATCCGCAAGAACTATTCTAGTGGGCTCATAAGGAGAGAACTTTCTAGGACTTTGCCTATTCCCTTGCCTTGAAGTCTGTGTATTAATATTACTTCCTTCAGCAGGTAAGAACTCAAACCTTCCAGGAGCCCTCAAGTCTCTCCAAAAATCCCTGCTCAAAACACCTCCTGATCCATTTAAATTCTCAGAGACTTCCAAATTTATTGAAATAACTTCTCCAGGCTGTAAGCGTTCTCTTTCCGAGGATAGGATATCATATAGACAAGAAGCATCATTCTCATATGGACTCACAATTAAGTGAGTATTATAATACAAGCTAATCTGATCGTAAAACGTTCTTGCAACAGAATTGTGATCCATTCTGTATATTATCTGATCTTTAAACTCCTTGACTGTTGTACGCAGATTAATTTCAAATAAATTTGATCCCTGCTGTAAGCTTGGAAAATGTGATTCAATTTTGATTAGATAACGTTGAGTATTCCCCAGTACAGGAACTATTTTAAAAATAACTGGTATCATTGGTGTAACATCTATCTTGAGGATCTGAGAAAGTGTGAGGCTGTTATCATTAATGACTTCATTTGTTGATGTCAAGAGGAATTTGAAATTGCCACTATGGAGTGATCCTCCACTTTTCTCTATCATGTAGTCTCTTATTGTATCAATTGAGGAGTACAAAGATTCTCTGAAGGTAGATTCTTGATATTTTCCGCTTGCATCCCACCACTGTACAACCAAATCAAAGAATTCTATTCCTGGATCTCGCCGTGGAACTGAGGGTGAATGCATTAACGTATAATCAATAGTGAGTCCAACATTCTGATAACTTTCACCGATCACTTGAGCTGTTTGTAGAATATCACTAAGGCACTCATTATCATCTAGATCTCTTTCTTCATAGACTAAGTGCAAGAATAATGGTCGTAGGGCGAAGTGTTCTGAATTTTTCCAAACCAGATTTTTTATATCTTTAATTTTATGCCTCAAAGTCACATTTACTATGTATTCATCTCCAATAAGTTTATCCTCCTCTTCTGAAAGATTCAAATGCTTAACTTTCAAGAACAAAGGGAAAGGAACGTCCATCTTGAGCTGGATAAAAGGTTTATAGTAGTTATCTGCTTATACCACTTTTCGCAAAAGTATATTAGTGAACTGTATATTAGCAAGTACCAGGTATAAAATAAGTAATATAGTACTATTTACAAGATAATTTCCTCTTTGGAAATACATATATATGTATACACATGATTTTGTTCACTTCTTGATTGCATGATATCTTTTACCCCTGAAGGCAAATATCTGATTGTTTGCTTGAAATGTTTCAGTAGGATTTGTATCCATTAAATCCAATTTAGTAGATCCAAAAATGTTTTTTGTCGTATCCATCAACACGTCCATCTCTTTATTCAATTTATGATTTTTGAGCCAGTCAACCTCCCTCAGTATATCCCGTTCATGGTATCCAGTCACAAAGACAGCACATTTTGACTCCAATAACCCTTTCAAAGATTTATCCCACACTAGCTCATCAGCAGTCGTAAAACCGGGATGAAACAAGAAAAATACATCCAAGTAAGGATCAAATGGAAATAAATCTTGTGTATCATAAACATCGTTGAAATATTGTGTATGGTGAAGGAGCGATATTTGCTCGTCAAACTTATTGACCATGGGCCGACCATGCGGCTGATCTGTAGACTGAAATGATCTAGTTTCAGGATCAAAATAGCACTCAGGTCCTATGAAATGAATCTCAAACTTAGTTTCGGGAAACAAATAGCCAAACTGTTTCCAAACATATCCTGGCAACATAGCTTCCATCTTTGCTCCTACCAAAAAAATCCTCATCGGTCTTTCTTTAAATGTACCCGAAGTATCCCTTGATTTTGCATAAGGAGGGTACAAAGTATAACGAAGTGCAGATAAAGATCTTAGACCTTCTAAAGCAATAGGTCCCTTGGGCGCAATATCATATGGTGAAAACTTATGCATAACAGATGCGATAGTTATGGGATAAGTTAAAACTTTGGATGCTGCAGCTAAGTTGAATTCAGTGTTCATAGGGTTGAAATCTCTAGTATAGAAAAAAGTATCCCAAGATGACATGCTAGTCGTAAAATCGTGTTCCTGTGGACCTGGGAAAACAAATTCATCAAACTTACGGCCAGATCGCAAATCATGCTCATATAGGTTTACCTTTTTCAAAAGTTCATATTTCTTCTCTGACTGATATACCTCGTCTTCTTCCCATGCTTCCTTCGAGTGATGGGTCGGAATACCAGAATATGGACACACAAAGTTAACAGATTTCTTCGTGACTGGACAGAGTGCTTTGGTTCGAATGAATGCCGCCCTCATACGGATATCTTCATACGGAGATTCGTCCCATTTGTAGAAGGGGGTCTCTAATATATCCTTATTATCAGAATTATCCAAAAATAGTATTCTTTTAAGAAGTGATATATTCCTCCATTGACCTTTGAATGATGTTTTAGTGCCTGTTAAACCCGTCTTTGGAGCCAGTCTAATGTAAACTGAGAAGACCATATTTACAGTTCGACCTGAGGGTACTCTGTATACGGACTAAATTACTTGAAATCTTATATTCGTTAAATCTTCTATAATTTTTTAAGCTCGATCATACCGGAGATGATATTTTATCGCCATTCTCAAATTTACACGTTCTATATCTAATCAATAATGTCGTACATTTAGTTTGCAACCAACATGTCAAAATGATGCAAAGAGTAGATTGAAGTGGAGAGTAACTACAAAGCAGTATCAGCTACCTTAACTGTACTCTTGGAAAATTCTTCAAAATTCCATGCATTCTTCGTGGCATCCCATTTCGGAGGATCAACAACGCTGCCATTGTGATCAAGCATATTGTTCGGATCTACCAACTTAACATCTAAAGTTTTCTCTGGAAAAGAGCCATCTCTCTGTATTCTTACCAAGTATATCAATGTTGCATAAAAGTCATAAAGTTCGAACCATAATGTAAAACTGTCACTCCATTGTACCAATAGTTGCTTCTCTTCTAAATCAGTTTGTGGTGCAATAAAAATTCTGCCAATACCATTGGCAACCATTTTTGAAACCTTATTGGCTAACTCTTGATCGGAATTGTACTCTCCGTTAAAGACAAGAACAGTTCTCAAATTAAAATAAAGGTTGGAAGTTGACGTTTCCACTTTATTTTGACCCAAATAAAAGTTACTTCCACAAGGTGATAGCCAAAGACTTGATAAATTAATTTTGTAGAAAAGCGGAACCGGGAATTTTCTATCATTGAATGGTGCCTTATTATTGTATTTTTCAAAGTCAGGAGTATAGGATGGAAGAGCACTATCTATTTCATCAATCAACTTACACTCTATCTTGTTCTCCATATCATCAGCATTAGTAGGTCTCAATTCTCGAATGGAGCATAATTGAGGAATGCTTATTGTCATTTCATATTGGCATGTTTTAACTTCATGGACGCTCAAGATTTCTGGCTTTCCAAGATGATGCAAATGACATTTATAAATCACGTCAACTTTTCTTGGCTGAAGAGTGAGATCACAAAGCTCTCCATCCGAAAGAGTATGTCTTAAGGATCTTTGAGTATGCCTGTCATATATCGATCCAGGAGTAAAAGGGCTCACCTTATTGTCCGTAAGAGAGAAATCTGATGCAGATAATCGGCTACTATTCCACGGCGATTGATTTTCTATCTTTATCGCACCTTTAGAGGGGCCATTAAACCGCCCTAAAATGTACACGTAATCAGGGTATTCAGGTACATGCTTCCCTGTCATCATTAATTTTTCTAGAGAGGGATGGAACTGAGAAACCTTGTCACCAAAACAATATGAAAAAGTCCAATATCCACCATCTAGTGCGTATGCGTACACGCATGAGCTCGTAGAGAACGAGTTTCCTATTACTTCAACTGCATTTTCGATAAGCTTCGTTTCATTGCTGATGGCATAATGATCAGACTCTAAAAGGGGATCAGTTTGCGAGCCATTTCTAGGCAAAAGGCATATATATTGCGCCTGTTCTGTTTCTCTATCTATTTTGAGTATTTCATATATTCCATTATATTGTTCATTGTAGTTCAGTGTTAGAAGAGCTTTTGCGTGATTTTTAGGAATATATGCATCATTATACTTTATTGAATACTTAGATTTACGAAATTGATCATTCACAGCAAATACGACTTGAAGCCAAACGAATATGATGCAGAAAACGTGTAAAACTGTCTTCCTATTCTCCATAATAGTACTATGAGCTAAAGATTAATATAATATTCGCACTACAAATTATAGAAATGATTAAGAAACTAAAATATCGTTGCGAGTCTTGAATAAAGCTCGTCTCAAACCTTAGTTGTGTTGGAATTAATCTTTTCTTTATATTCCTCTACTCTATTACACCACACATGGATGTTACAGAAGCACCAGCAGATGTTCGTGGTCTCACCACTCCACAATTAGATGGAGGAGAGTTCACTGGTCAGTCTGTGCGAAATAAAGTCACCAGAAATGATGATCACAATGAAGATGTTTCAAAAAATGCTACTAACCACGGCTCCTCAATGTTGGAGCTTGTTAGGGAAATCGAAGACAAGCTTGGAGAGTTTAATGGAATTATTGATGCAGGTGACGCAGACTTGGGTAGCAGAATAGACAATCTTGTTAGACGCGTTAAGAGCTTCGAAGACTCTTTAATAAAGGAGAGATCACCTCCATAATAGCTAGAGAACTTGTTTGCATTTGTAGTTATATACATGGTTTTATTATTGATGTTTCCTTTCTTTACTAGTTCTTTACCTACTACTTTCTTTTTTGTGTAAATATTGAGGCATCTAATTGGAAAGATAAGTTCAACTTTTAAGACGAAATTGTAGCTGAAGGTATAATGGGAGCTGAAAAGAGGTCCAAAAACTCCATCAGACGTCAGAAAAGCAAGCTTAGGAAGTTACAGAATCTGAAAGATAAAGTAGACAATAGAGATAAAGCTGATGCAACCAACTTGAGTAACAAGACTAAGACTACGAAAAAACCAGTGTTTAACAATTCTATCAAACAAAATAATGTTGAGTTCGAAGATGATGACCTTGTAGCTGAATATCAATCTGTTTTCCTAAAGTTCCAAAGAACGGATAATGATAGGATAGAGAGTAACACTTCGTCTAATAGTGTTAGCGATCTGAAGGAAGAAAATGAAAGGTGGCGTGAAGTTAGTTCCGAGGATGATACAAGCGATGAAAGTAGTGACGAAAGTGTTAAGTTATCTAGACGACAGCAGAGAATTCGAAACAAGGTGCCAGTATCTCTTTTGAAGGCTTCTACTTCTCGACCTGGAGTTGTCGAAATGAGTGATATTGATGCACTGGACCCTTTTCTCTTGGTCACAATAAAGTCGATGCCAAATGTAGTACAGGTTCCAAATCATTGGTCTTCTAAAAGAGAGTATTTATCTTCAAGGAAAGGTGTGGAGAGACCTCCTTTCGAATTACCAAAGTATATCCAAGATACAGGTATTCAGGATATGAGAGGAACTGATGATAGATCTTTAAAACAGCTGCAAAGAGATAGAGTGCAGCCAAAAATGGGTAAGCTTGACATAGATTATGAAAAACTTAATGACGCATTCTTCAAGTTCCAAACTAAGCCCAGATTATTTGCATTTGGTGATGTTTACAGCGAGGGAAGGGAAGTATCTGACGAGTATATAGATGAAATCGCAAAACTAAAACCAGGGATGGTTTCAAGTAGACTCAGAAGCGCTTTAGGTCTTCCTGAAGCTGACTTCAGTATACCTCCACCATGGCTTGCCGTATTCAGAGAAATTGGGCGACCACCTGCTTATGATTCTCTCACGATCCCTGGCTTAGATATCCCATATAATAATGATGGTTACAAATCTCTGACAGGAGGGCAAAAGAACATCGAAGTTGATATATCGACACATTGGGGTAAACCCCAAGCTTATTTGGAAAGTTCTGATGAGAGTGAGAGCGAGAGTGAGAGTGAGAGAGAGCATGAAAATGTTGATGAATCAAATCTAAATTTAACTAGTAACGAAACAGGAAACGAGTCTCAAAATTATCGAGAGGAAGAACCTCAAAAAGTTGAACTAAGCGAGTTGATGAGTCATTCGAAACCTTTGGGTGCAACCCTTTCTACTGGCGCTGAAAATGAAACTGGCTCGTTATACACTGTCCTCGAAGAGACACTGGCGAAACCAAATAATAGTATACTAAGCAATGAGCATGCCTATGATATTCAGAATGTGGAAGTTGAAGAGATAAAATCACAAATTGGAGGTTCGCCCAGAAGTGCAACACATCCTCATGAAAAAAGTTTCAAGTTTTAGGAAAGTATCTATTCAATTACATTTCTGCTTGTTCAAGTACCCCAGTAGTGCTTGGCTCTTGCATTCGATTCATTTGATTCATTCGTAGCTCCATCTATCGTATGACTTGGAAATAGATTAATTTCATCCAAATTGTGGGTGTTCTGAGGAGTTGCTGCAACGTTATCATTATTATTAAAAGCAAAATTTGACTCTAATGGATTCAAATAGTTTAAAATGTCTTGATCAATTTCTTTGAAGATATCTTCAAGAGAATAATGGGAAGGTATCTCGGTAGGATCAGATGAAACATTCATATTTGCGTATGATCCCACATCTTCAGGTAGCACATGAGACGATAATATTTCAGATGATCCCTTTGGTGGGTCAACATGATCCTTTAAGTCAGTAATGTTTTCTTCCTTATTTGTATCATTCAACTCTTTGGGAACCTCAAGGTTTTCTATCTCCTGATCTTTACTCATGTTCATAAGGTTCACCAAATTCAGATTGTCTTTATAAGCATTCAGTGGCGCATTATAGCTCTCTGAGAAGATCATCCATTTATAGATTTTACTTAAAATAGAAGACATTTGAGAACATGCCAACAGCTTGAATTCAAACTCATTCTTTTCAAATATTTTTGAAATTTCATGGAAATATTGCTCAACACTTATCTTTAAATCTTCGGGGTTATTAGAAGGAAAGCCCTTCTTGAAAATTTGGGACTTTAGCAATAATCTTAATCTAATAAGTAGAATTAAAGCATGCAATGGTCTATAATAAAAAAAACTGGGATAGTTTATAGTCTCTTCCATGTTTAGAATGATAAAAGAATTTAACAAATTTTCACATATCTTTATTAACTTACTTATGTGTTGCAAGTATGCCAATTTATCAATCATTTCGAAGCCAGTCGTAGAAGATTTCTTTCCAGAAAAGTCATGTTGATGATAAAAAATGTCACTTACTAAATTATCGTAGATTAACATGAGCATTTGATAATAAATGATGGCAAGTAAATATTTTTCTTTGGGTGCATCGTCGCTTGGTCCCAAATACTTGTCACTTGATGGTTGCATAAATCCACTTTCTACCAATGTCAGATAAAGTAACTGCTCGTATCCATTTATCACCCACTTGACATTATTCAAAGGCAAAGAATCGATGTTTGAAAGTTGGATAGGTGAGTGGGAATCAGACCCTCGTTTCGTAGAACTATTTATTTCACTCACAGTGTTCCCAGAACCACTTGAAGATAAAAATTCAAATATTTCCTGCCCAAGATATATTACCTGAGCAAAGCAACATAGGAACCTATCATTTTCCGTAGGCAAGTTCTTGCCCTTTTGCAGTAAAAGTTTAACAGCTTCTTCGTGGCTCTTTGACCAAGAGACTAACTTGAACTTTGGCAAGGATAATCCTAATGATCCACAACAGCAGTATACACTGAGAAAGGCGCGTATTTCATTCCTATTGTCCATGGTTTCTTGCAAATATTCCAAGCTACGAGTACCGTATTTTACAGACTCGCTCAAGTCGATGCACAAAGAAACATTGAACGCCATTAACAAGTTCAACTGATTTTTGAAGTTCCCCAATCTACGGGGAGGCGGGCACCATAAAGAAAGGATTAAGCAAGTATAGACTAAGTGGTATGTGAAATCCTCCGACTTCCGATAAAGCTGATGACATATTAAATTTTCAAGATAGTAAGATAATAGATTGAATAATGACACATTATTCAGAGTCTTCTTAGAATCTAGGTCTGGAATCAGGTTGTCATTTATAGCAGTCACACATATAATAGCAGTTAATAGCAAGGGAGAATTCTCAGCTAAAAAATAGAAATCCTTGAGTTTTGAGGAGAATGATATAACAGGATAGTAAGGTAGCATGCTGTTTAAGAAATAATCGAACCTCGCTTGCGATTCTTCTAACGTAATAAGTTTGTAATTAAATACCAATTCCTTGATGAGATTGGATTTCAATGGAATGTCAGGATATTTTGATTCAGGAAGCTGTTCTAAATTATCGGCCTTGGGTTCAGTTGGGCCATTTATGGTTTTAAACTTTTTAGAAATAGACTCATACTGCTTACGAATTTTTACCACTCGAGGAGATTTTGGATCAATAGTCTGTTCCTCAAGCTTATTTAGGGATATCATTGCCTCCTCTAGCAACTTGGCTACTTTTGAACTCTCCTTGGAAATATCTACCTCTTCCACATCAAGCTCCTTGGTTTTTCTTTTCTTTCTCCTTGCAAATTTAGCAGTCGGATCTTCGTCTGGTGAGCATTCGACACCTATAGCAAAACATCTTTTACATGCCAGATAAGATGGATCTTCATAAGAGCATTTCATCTTCAATCTATGACACCTTGCACACGCCCTTACCTGTCTCCATTTCTGGGAAAAGTCATTTCCCGAATTGTTTTGGCTTTCACTAGAATCCAGGTGTCTTCCATTCAGAACAGAGTTCAGCATTTAAGGGAGTATCAATTGAGTCAACTTAAATACAGCTATTCCATTAATTATATTGGACCCTTTAGGTACTTTTGCCCAAAAATATATCAGCGTTAGTAATCAAACTAGTTGATTTTTGAATCCTAGTAAGGATATACCGATATATTTTCTTTCTATCTAATTATTCTCGAATCAAAAACCCCTGGAGATGTCCGTAACCATAGAAGTCGCGATGAGATCCGCGATAAGCCCTAGAGATAACACGAATGTAAAATACAAGATTCTATTTTCTCTAAGTGAGATATTGATCAGTGTCTAAATATATCTATATAAACCAATGAAGATTGATATATTAATGAAACCTGACTCAAAAACATTAATGATAATATGCAATATGATTTTAAGCTCTGAGGGCATTAATTTTCATGACTGGAAAATTAAAAATCAACAGTTGGCATCGTGTCGATTGACTTATCAATCTTAGCACCGAAAGAAGCAATACATTTGGCCATTGTAGGTGATGACCTAGAAATAACGTCGGTGAAGTAGAAATTGTCAATAGGATTCTTTAATGGACTACCGGTAGCCTTAGCATTTTTGTTTTTAGAGACGATGTCTTTAAGACCAATTTGAGCTACTTCCTGAGAAACAGGTTCAATCACATCATGTCTTACCAAGTGAGGTGCAATTTCCCCAAGCCTCGATCTAATAGAATACAAATCGTCATAAGGCAATGGAGAGTTTAAGTACTCGGATAACGCTCTAATGATCTTCCAGTCCTCACGAGCAGAATCGGGGGGATTGGTGGCTGCACGAGTTATCTGTGTCCTACCCTCAGTATTTACGTAAGTGGCAGACTTTTCTGTGTAAGCAGAACCTGGTAAGATGACATCAGCAAAAGTTGCACCAACATCACCATGATGTCCTTGGTAAACTACGAAAGCTTCCTTTGGTATATCTTTACTGGTAACCTCGTCGGCACCTAATAAATAAAGGATTTTAGCTTTAGTTTCAGCTGTCTTTGGATTCAATGTCACAAACCCGACATCAAGGGCACCGGCACGAGAAGCTTCACGATGTAATAAGTTCAAACCATTCCATTCTGGAGTATTGAAATTCGAATGTTTGCTTGCAAAGTCAGCTACGGTATTATAAAGGGCCGCAGCGTCTTCGGACTCAGCAACACCAGAACCAACAATAATCATTGGGTTTTTAGCAGCAGCCAACTTTTTACCAAGTACACCATCAAGTGCCTTTTTCAAAGCACTGGCATCTTTACCGTAGTTCTCGAGTTCAAAAGTAGATTCAAATTCCTGCCCTACATGGCTAATCTCCAAGTTCAGTCTCAACCACACACCCCTAATTCTAGCATTCAAAACTGCGGCTTCAAGTCTTGGGTTTGTACCAACTAATAAAATTTGATCGGCTTCTTCTATGCCATCAATGGTAGAGTTGAAAGTATAATTGGATCTCACATCAACACCGTAAACATCACTGGCTTGCTTTACATCAGTTGTAACATTCTCTGATCCCAATTTATTCAACAAATCTTTTATGGCAACCATGGACTCTACATCGGTCAAAGCTCCAGAAATTGCTTTTATTTCATCTCCCACAGGTTTAATTTTATTAAATGCTGCAGCAATAGTAGACAATGCTTCATCCCAAGTAGCAGGCTCAAATCTGTCTCCATTCCTAATTAATGGTGTGGTCAAACGCTGAGTCTTTAAACCATCGCAGGCAAATCTTGTTTTATCAGATATCCACTCTTCATTGACTTCATCATTAAGCCTCGGTAAAACTCTCATAACTTCCATTCCTCTGGCATCAACCCTAACGTTTGAGCCCACTGCATCCATTACATCGATTGTCTCTGTTCTTTTCAACTCCCAAGGTCTCGCTCTGAATGCATAAGGCTTAGAAGTCAACGCACCAACAGGACACAAATCAATTATATTACCTGATAACTCAGAGTTGATATTTCTCTCAATATACGTTCCAATTTGCAAGTCATTTCCACGGCCTGAAGTACCTAATTCAGGAGCGCCTGCAATATCATTCATGAATCTTACACATCTAGTACAGTGAATGCATCTGTTCATCGAAGTCTTGACTAAAGGACCAATAGCTTTATTTTCGACAGCTCTTTTACCCATCAACTCCTTAAATCTGCCACGATCTGCGCCATACCTATTAGACTGTTCCTGTAAATCACATTCTCCACCTTGATCGCAAATTGGACAATCCAAGGGATGGTTTTCCAAAAGCATTTCGGTAACACCTTCTCTTGCTTTTTTGATTCTCTCTGAATCTGTGTGGACGACCATTCCATTTTGTACTGGCATGGCACACGAAGCAATTAACTTGGGCATCCTTTCAACGTCAACTAAACACATACGACAGTTACCTGCGATAGCTAACTTATCATGATAACAGTATCTTGGGATCATTACTCCAGCCTTATCAGCAGCTTGAATAATGGAAGAACCAGCCTCGATAGAGACCGTTCTACCGTCAACAGTGACTTGCACATCTGCAAATTTTCTCGCAGTAGATGATAGACTACGCTTTGATGCCCTTAATAAAGACGTTCTAACACCCAACATCCTATATGATCCTTCAAGCACTAGATACTTTAATCGTCTTTGGAGTAGTTTGAAATTCTATATGTTCAACTGGGTACGAATATAGTTGTCCTTATAGGTTTTCCTAATTTTGTGATACTTGACTTTCTATTGGGTTACAGTAATCAGATTGATTAAAATCTGATTCGCTAAAGACGGTAAAGGGAGGGTAACGGATTCTTTAATTTTTCGAGGATTAATACTCAGTATGTATCCTGTATACAGATTCACTAATGATAATAGCTAGATAAAACGGCGACTATAAGACATGCATTATAGATTACTATGTTGAGAAAAGAATGATATATCACGGTAGAATTGGTAAATGGAGAGTAAAATTGTGACATTGCGTAGCTTTTTTTTTTTCTTTCATGTATCCAAGTGTTCTATGAGCTTTAGTATTTATCCTTATGAAGCAACTGAGTATCTACTGTGCCATCCCACATCAATTTGCTTCTTCATTTTTTATCATCGGTAACTAGCAAATATAATATTAAAGGAGTAACCAAGAGGAGCCAATTTTTCTGAATCCATGATCGATTGTCTTCCTCTTCTTCAATCACCACCTCTTCTCCTGCATCGTCTTTCACTACTTTCTTTATGATTTTCTTCTTCTCCTTCTTTTGCGGTTCATTCCTTTGTGATTTAGGGTTCAAATTAGGTACTGGACCAAGATCTCTAGTTCTTACAACAACTGTTTCTGTCGCTCCATTTATGAGTGAAACTCTTAAGATTTCACCAATTTCATTAACATAAAGAACAAACCCTTTGTCCAGAAGAGGACGATCTTCGGAGCTAAAATTTGTTAAATCAAAACATCCATTATCACTCAATTTTTTAGATCCAATGCAATAGATCTCTGATGTGCTGATATGCTGGGATGGAAAGTAATTAAAGGAAGCTTCCATAGACTCATTGTTATATTTTAATTCGCCAAATTGAATCGAATTCTTGTCAGTAATTGGGGTTGCCCAAACATCAATATTTGATTCCTTAGCTAGCACCAAAGAAAGACTCAAGAAAAAGACCAATAAGAATGAGTGTATCATTTCATTCAAATAATGTATAGGTTGAATAAATCGTAGGTTAAAATTTAGGTATCAAAATCGCGATTTTTGAATTTTGGTGAAATATATCTTACCATAAACAACATAAGTGCTGAGTAGGAATGCGACGAGAAATTACTCTAGCAAAAAGGTTGACGACTCTTAGGAAAGCGATAAATACGAAGCCACCCCCAAAGAGCTTTCTTTTCTCTAGCATTCAAAATTGTCAAGAATATCTTGATTATTGCAAACACAATAGTATTCAACTAGAATCTACAAATTTCAGAGGTACGTTATATGAATTGGCCGCTATGGAAATTTTGAAGGAGCAGCTACATTGCGATGGATTGTTAAAAGTAGGTGGTGCAAATGATCAAGGTGTAGATATAATAGGCAAATGGAACTTGAAACACTTTTGGGATCAATCACTTCTTAGATTTCCACAGGAGAGATCACTTCAAGATATTAAAAACAATGATTCTATGTTGAAGAGCACAATTGAAGCAGGTGAATTTTTGGATAAAAATGGGAATCGGAAGCTTATTTCTTTAGAAAAAGATATCAACATCCTAGTACAATGTAAAAATCATCAAAGTAAGATAAGAGTCTCAACAATTAGAGAGCTTACAGGAACATATTTTAATCATACAAGATCAACAGATGTCTACAAAAACTACATGTTCTTAATTTCGCCGGGAACTCTTACTAAACAAGCGCATTCTTTAATGGATACCATCGATATCCCGATGATCCATTGTAGGCTCTCTAGTTTGCAATCAATATCTTCAGAGGAAGACGTTTATAAGCTAGAAAATTGGAATGGTCCTGTATTGAAATCAATATATTTAAACCGTCTATCTAGACAATTACTACGTGGACTTAACTTGGAGCTACAGTTTGAATTATTAATGGCAGGAGTAGAATAAGAAGAGCAAATTTAGAAGAATTCCAGGCTCTTTAAAAGCATGAAAAAAAGAGAAGATGAAATCATAAACATTTAAAATAGCTTAGCATCTAATTCTTGTGTGATACCTTCTGATTTTCGTTTGAGTATTACGAGTGTCTCCGCTTCCAGAAGATGGCTTAGAAGTTGACAAACTCTCATGTGAGTTGTCACCAAATCCACTACTCGTGGAGTAAGTGGTTTTCGTTGTCTGACTTTTGAGCTCACTGCTATTTTCATGGCTAGTAGTTGCATCGCTCTCCTGTGACCCTCCTGTTTGTTCTGTTGTTGGTTCTTTCGCATGTACCGTGCTCAAAGTTGTTGGAACACTGCTAGTTGACAGTAAAGAGTTTTTGACTTGAGAGTTATCACTACTTGATTTTATTGGCGTTGTACTGGATGTGGTACTAGATGTGGTAGTGGATGTAGTGCCACTGCTGGCGCTGCTCTTAGAGCTAGTTGCCTTGGAAATAGTGCTGCCAGTGCTAGTAGTACTAATTAAAGTACTACTGCTGCTAGTACTAGAGCTGGTAATGCTGGAAGTCGTGGCCCTGGAGGTGGCACTCAAAGTGCTGGAGCTCAGAGTGGTACTGCGAGCTTTCGACGAGGTACTTGAACTCGATGTGGCACTTGATGATGTATCTAACAAGCTTTTCATTTGATCTGCAAATGTGTCTCCATTATCGGTATTAGCCCAAGCAGCAGATGCATCCCATAGAGAAATACCTCCAAAATGCGAATCAGATTTTATTTTATCGACGTATTCTTGTACTCCAGATGCTGCTACGTAACCGGAACCGGCAGCTGATTGGCTCGCTGGCAATCCCAAGTAAAGCTTGATATTTTTGTTGGGGGAGGTATTTGTAGCATAGTCCAGCCACGTATCCCAATTAAAATTAGTACCTAAGTTGCAATAATTATTATAGAATTGGATAAAAGCAAAATCAATTGAGGCATTTTCCAATAAATCTCCTACTGACTGATCGGGATACGGACATTGTGGGGCTGCCGATAAGTAATAGTCCTTCGAATCATCCTTTTCAAATGAGCTTCTAAGTGCACTGGCTAACGCAGCATATCCGACTTGGTTCAGGTTCTCGATATCGAAGTCGAATCCATCAACAACTGCGTCGTCAAATGGTCTTTCATCATCGGAGCCGCCTCCGAACTTGTTCCATAATGTTGTGGCAAACTCTTTAGCTTCCGAATCAGACGTAAAACCATATGACCCAGTCGCTCCTCCTAGAGACAACAAGATTTTTTTTCCACCAGCTTGGCACGATTTGATATCTTCAGCAATTGTGGGACAATGTAAGAGACCGTCAGAAAAAGAATCTGTACACGCATTTGCAAAATTCAATGCTAAATCTGGAAAACCATAGAGAAAACTCAAAATAACAATATCAACGGAATCACTATCGCAATATGTTGATAGTGCTTCCTGGGAGCCTGCTGAATTTTGACCCCAATAAACAGCAACGTTTTGTGATGAGCTTGAGTCGAAAGCTGCAACATTAATGGCAAAGTATGTTATTGCCAAATAGATCAAGCCTTTGGCAATCATGAAGAATTTTTGTTTTAAGGAATGACTTGAAGTTAGTTTCTAATAAAGATAGACAATTAAAGCTGTGATATATTCGTTGTATATGAAAACTTCATTCTAGAAATTAGATTTACTTAACCCATGGAACATTTATATATATCGAATCTCATCTCTACTCGATGTTGAAATAATGTTGACACTATTTAGTTGCGCTTTATTTCCTCACAAGTAAATTTCAGAGCCCATTTTGTTAGAGCTTGGCAGATAATACAATAAATACGTCAAACCCTGCTAAATCAGGTTCAATGGTAACTAGTTTCGAGAAAATTTTAGTTGCATTTGTCCTGTCCGCCAGCCATTCTCGTAAATTTAGATTATTTTTGCAACCCGAAAACCTTAATCGGGATATGTCAAAAAGAATAAATAATAGGGTATTATGTCATAGGACTAAACTTGATCTTACAACAGAAACATACATTGAGTACAAGAAATGACATCTGCTGTTCCATTATGCACCTTAATTGACAGAAAAGTATTCTTCTTTTGGAAAAAATAGAGAAAATTTAATGCGCTCTCACTAAAGGGGATAACGAGCCAGCATTGGACTTTGACATTACTCGCTATTCTTATTGAAAATTTTTACTGAAGTACAATCGTTTAATCTTTCCTAGCATCTGAAAATGAGATTCAGATTAATTGTGAAGGTAGTGAAGACCTACAATTTATAGTCATAGAATTTTTTTTCTTTTCATAATTTCTTCAGAATATTGTAAAACACACATTTTTGAATAAAGGCACGCAGCAGTAAAAAGCCAAGATAATAGATATTGATTTTAGTAGGACTTCAACTTATAGACAATATTGAGTGGGGAATTTTCAAGGAATAGCTCGTTGAAAGGAACTACATCCTATCAATATCGCTATTTTTAAGTTAACGGCTCAGTTTTATAATACATCAGAACTCAGAAAGATTGCAAAGAATAAAACAATATCTTTATGTAAGCATTAGACTGCCTGTCGATTAGGCACTGAAATTGATCCAGGAGAAGCTCAGTATAGTATATCTTATTATGAGGTTTAAAAATATCTAGACGTATTTTTTCAAACTTTAGCAATTGGAATCGGTTATTTGACAGACGTATTACACTATCATACTCTGGAAAATCCATATTCAATTATACAAGAGATACATTTTGATTCATATATTATAATATTAAGCACTGTCCGGATCAAGTGGATCTTGACCAATCAACCGCTGATATTATTGTTTCTCCTCAGGAATAGGAGACGTGCTTTATTCCATTTTTAGATGTTTGTGTACGAGGTTGGGGCATGTGCACATACGTTCGCCGAAATTTCGGCGGAATGTGTGCACACTTGCCAACTTTGGAACGATCCCACACACAACCACACTAGAATAGCATTGTGTTCTGTATATTCCGGCGAAACTGGACATTGATTGGCGCAACTCGGCGGCTAAAACGATACGTTTCCTCCCTTATTTCTGCTTTCTCGAACTATAAATTGTGACCAGATTCCCTTTAATCTTGGCTGTAACTAGGATCCCAATTTAATTATAAATATTCTTATAAATTGTAAAGATGTCTACCAACGTCAAATTCAATACCACAAAGGCAGTCAAAAAGGACAACACCTTGTACACCAATTTCACGTATGAAAACTCAGTTGTCGAAAAGACTGATGCCGGAATCTTCAATGTTACGCCTACAGCCGTTGATTACCAATTCAAGGTTGATTTGAGTGTTAAAAAGACAGGTTTACTCTTAGTTGGTTTAGGTGGTAATAATGGTACTACTCTAGTAGGATCAGTATTAGCGAATAAGCATAACATATCTTTTGAGAACAAGGAAGGTGTTGTCAAGCCAAACTATTATGGTTCCGTTACACAGAGTTCGACTCTCAAGATAGGTGTTGATCATGAAGGAAATGACATTTATGCACCATTCAACTCTCTTTTGCCATTTGTGAATCCCAATGATTTGATTGTCGGGGGTTGGGATATCAGTAAATTGCCATTAGATAAGGCAATGAAGAGAGCTAAAGTTTTGGATACTGACTTACAAAAGAAGTTGTACCCTTACCTCAAAAACCAGGAACCTCTTCCTTCTATTTATTATCCAGATTTTATTGCATTGAACCAGAAAGAAAGAGCCGACAACGTCTTCAACAAGGGATCTGATGGTGAACCAAACACCAAACAAAAATGGAAAGATGTTGAAAAAATCAGACAAGATATCAGGGATTTTAAGAAAAAGAACAAGTTAGATAAAGTTATTGTGTTGTGGACTGCAAATACAGAAAGGTACGCGGACGTTGAAAAGGGCGTCAATGATACCTCTGAAAATTTGCTCAAATCCATAAAAGATAACCATGAAGAAATTGCTCCATCTACAGTTTTTGCAGTTGCCTCAATTTTGGAAAAAGTTCCATATATTAACGGTTCACCACAAAACACTTTCGTGCCGGGAGTTATCGAGTTAGCCGAACAACATAAATCGTTTATCGGTGGAGATGACTTCAAGAGTGGTCAAACAAAAATAAAGTCAGTCTTAGCTCAATTTTTAGTTGATGCAGGTATTAGACCTGTTTCTATCGCTTCTTACAACCATTTGGGTAATAACGATGGTTACAACTTATCTTCTCCTCAACAATTTAAATCCAAAGAAATATCAAAGGCTTCAGTGGTAGATGATATTATTGAATCTAATGAGATTTTATACAATGATGAAAAGGGTAGAAAAATTGATCATTGTATTGTTATCAAATACCTCCCTGCAGTTGGGGATTCAAAGGTTGCGATGGATGAGTATTATTCTGAATTGATGTTGGGTGGGCACAACAAAATCTCAATTCATAATGTTTGCGAAGATTCATTACTAGCTACCCCTTTGATCATCGATTTGGTTGTTGTCGCTGAGTTTTTATCTAGAGTCAGCTACAAAAAAGCTTCAGATCCAGATGACAAGTACGAAGATTTCTACTCGGTTTTGACCTTGTTGAGTTATTGGCTTAAGGCTCCATTGGCAAAACCAGGTTTCAAGGCAATCAACGGATTGAACAAACAAAGGTTGGGCCTTGAAAATTTATTGAGATTGTTAGTAGGTTTACCAGTGAACAACGAATTGAGATTCGAAGAGAGATTATATTAGCTTAGTCTAAGTAATACACATTTGATATTAAAGTTATTAAGTAGTTCAGTAGATATTTTTGTCTAGTACAACCTATTGTAGACATTCATGTTGCGTCAAGGAAAGAAATAAAAAGGTCATGATCCAATTAAAAGTGAGGAGCTACGGGGGCCGAATTTAATAATTGAAGCAGCAGCATAAAATAGATGTCGATAAATGTCGTAACTTTAGTTGCATAGACTTTGTTGCCACTCTCACTTTGTGTAACCTAACCGACGTATCTTAGTTCCCCTCCTTAGTCGCAAAGGAATCGCATTTGTTGGGAAAGCTTGCCTCCAACACTGGCATGCGTCGATCTAACCTGTAGAAATTTGATTTTATTTCGCACTGTTTTCAGTTAAACGGCAGAACAGTTGAGCTTAAGTGACAGCAAACCTGCAAAATACGTCAGGGTATCTTTCCTGTGACTTTTCTGCCTAATTATTTAAAATTAGTGTTAGCTGCTTAGAGAATAGAAGCATATTAGTGTTGCATTGGCATTGTTAACAGCAGTTTATATTTTGAAACGCATCCATCAATAAATAATCTTGAACTTGAAACGCTAACTCTTTGACAGCGTAATACCATAAAACCACTTAATTCGAAAGATATTAAAAGAGATAAGCATTAGTTTGAAATTAATTAACAATATGGTTGCGCTTACGGTAAAAGTAGGGGAGGCAAAGCAAGGTGAAACAGCACCAAGGAGAAAAGCAGCCCAAAAGGCAGCAGCAGTCGACAAACCATTGGATTCCAAGGCTGCCACATTGCCCGAATTCGTTGAGGAGTGCTCCAAAAGAGGTGGGAATGATAAAGCTATGGGTTGGAGAAACCTCTTGGAAGTACATACAGAAATCAAGAAGGTTAAAAAATTAGTAGATGGTGAAGAAAGGGAGGAAGACAAGGAATGGCTCTACTACGAGAACTCAAGTTATAACTTCCTTACGTACAACGAGTTATGGAATCAAGTGCAAGCTTATTCAAGAGGCTTGGTCTCTTTAGGTTTAAAACCTGATCAGACAAGTAGATTGCATATATATGCATCTACTTCTGCAAAGTGGATGCAAACTTTCATGGCCTGCCTGGTTCAAGGTATTCCGATTGTCACGGCCTATGATACTTTAGGGGAGTCTGGGTTAGTGAGCTCGCTACTTGAGACTGAATCCGAAGGAATTTTTACAGATAATGCCTTACTAGCGCTGTTAATAAGACCACTACTGAAAGCCAAATCAATCAAATTTATCATTCATGCTGAGCCGATTGATGAAAAGGATACTCGTTTGAAAGGTAAACTATATAAAGAAGCTAATGAGGCAAGAGAAAAAATCTTGAAAGAAAGGCCTGATATCACCTTTATTACTTACGATGAATGCATCAAGCTTGGTAAGGAAAACCCGGAAGTTCCGTATCCGAAACCAAAGCCTGAGGATTTGGCTTGTATTATGTATACTTCAGGCTCAACAGGTGCTCCAAAAGGTGTTGTAATTAGTCATGAGAACATCATTGCTGCTGTAGGAGGCATTTCTTGTAATGCTAGCAGGTCTTTGGTGAAGAGAAATGATAGAGTTATAGCCTTTTTACCCTTAGCGCATATTTTTGAAATGGCTTTTGAACTCGCAAATTTTTGGTGGGGAAGTTGCTTGGGTTACGCAAACGTTAAAACCTTAACAGACATCTCCTGTAGAAACTGCGAATCGGATTTGGTTGAATTTAAGCCTACCATCATGGTTGGTGTTGCAGCCGTGTGGGAATCTGTTAGAAAGGGTGTTTTGGCAGAAGTCAGGAAACAACCTGCCTTAGTTCAAAAGCTCTTTTGGGGTGCATATAAAGGAAAATCAACCTTCAATCATTTCAAGCTTCCAGGTGGAGGAATATTTGATTTTGTTTTCAAAAAAGTCAAGGCGAAGACAGGTGGACATTTAAGATATGTTTTGAACGGTGGCTCGCCAATATCAATAGATGCTCAAGTTTTCATTTCTACTACTATTGCCCCAATGTTGGTGGGATATGGATTAACAGAAACATGTGCTAACACCACAATCGTTGAGTTTCAACATTTCGAATTTGGTACAGTGGGAACTTTGACTGGTGCCATTACGGCCAAGCTAGTAGACGTTCCTGATGCTGGTTATTTCGCCAAGAATAACCAAGGTGAAGTTCTTTTGCAAGGAAAGTGTGTCACAAGTGGTTACTTTAAGAATGAGAAAGAGACATCGGAGGCATTCACCGAAGATGGTTGGTTCAAGACTGGTGATATTGGTGAATGGGCTCCAAATGGTGCCTTGAAAATTATTGATCGTAAAAAGAATTTGGTGAAGACTTTGAACGGTGAATATATAGCATTAGAGAAGTTGGAGTCCATTTACAGATCGAACCATATTGTTCTTAACATTTGCGTTTATGCAGATCAAAGTAAGGTGAAGCCAATTGGTATTGTTATTCCAAATGAGACTTTCCTTAAACAATTCTTGGCAGAAGAAAAGGTATACTCAGAAAATGAATTAAGCTCGAAGAGCCTTTCTTCTTTATGCGAAGACAAGAAGGTCACTCGTGCTTTCTTAAAGTCTTTGTTGGCTACAGGTAAGTCTCAAGGCTTAAAAGGAATTGAATTCCTTCAGAACATTGTGTTGTTGGATGAAGAATGGACTCCTCAGAATGGTTTTGTCAGTTCAGCAATGAAGTTACAAAGAAAGAAGATTTTGGAGTCTTGCAAAGACAGGGTTGATGCTGCTTATGCAAGTTCTTAGACTCCAATTGAAGTTAATTTTTTTATGAATTTTTTTCTTTCTTATTTGCAAATTTAGTGCTCCTTTTGTTCGTAGTATAACGAAAACAGTTGCATTTATACATTGGAATATCAAATGCTTTATTATTACTCTGATTCAATAGCTAAATAGGTAAATTAAATGTTTTAAGTATATGTTTAACCTCCATAGATCACTTCAAAGCTCTCCTTTATTTTATCTATTGAGAAGTTTTTATACAAACAAAATTGAAGTAAAATTCTAGCCTTCTGTGGATTCAAATATCCACTGGCTATTGCATGACCTGCATTTTCTATTTCTGGCAAGGAGTCAGTAGGAATCATTCCATCCATAGATCTCTTGGAATAAACGACAGGGATATTTCTCTCCGTAGCTATTCTGGCAAGTACTTTATTAGTTTTAGATGACATGGATCCTGCACCCATAGTTGCTAGTACTAATCCTTTCGCATTTAGATTCTTGACAACAATCTCTATCATGGAGTCATTGAAATCTTGGTGGGCATATAAAATGGGAACTTCAGGACTTACAAATTCAGATACGTTCAAGTCAAAGTAAGTTATCCCAAGTGGCTTAACAGCTGGAAAATAATAATGAATGTGATTATTTACAAAGCTTCCTAAGTAGCCTTGACCAATTGATTTAAATGTATCTAGCGAGTTGGCATTTGATTTCGTAATATAGAATCCAGAACCAATCCTGTCGTTTAACGCAACAAGTACGCCTCTGTCTTTTGAGTTCTTATTTGCAGCTATAACTATTGCTTGGTACAAGTTCATTGGACCATCAGAGGAAATGGCGGTCGAGGGTCGCATGGACCCACACATTACTATTGGTTTATGTGTGTTTATTGTGAGTTGCAAAAAAAACGCCGTTTCCTCCATAGTATCCGTTCCGTGTGTTATAACAATCCCATCAAAACTCTCAATATCTTCAGCTACTTTCTGGTATATTGTCAAGACTTCTTTAGTACCTATGTCCGACGAATCAACATTTAAAACCTGCTCATATTGCAAATTACATGTCATTGACAAATCGGGAATTGTTTCAATGAGATCTTCGATGGTCATATCTACTTTGTAGCCTGCTGTTTGATAGGCTGTTTGACCCTTCGACGCAATTGTGCCTCCCGTTCCGAGTACTTTTATTGTCGGTAATCCATTATCACTAGACTTAGTAAACGCACTAGTATCATCACGAGAAGAAGTTCTGTATTTTACTCTTACAATAGAGTGATCGTGGTTATCTTGATGAACTTCGATATCATAGTTCGCATCCTCAGGATTGCAGCAGCATGGCTGATTATCCACAGTTGACATTTACAATTCAAGTCACTTCTATGGAAGACTATAGATGAGTGTATTGATTGATTCTTTTTTCACTACTACTCTGTTTTTACGAAGTCGGATCTAATATTTCGGTCCCAGCAAATCAATTCTTCTCTCACAATATTAAATTTTAACATTTAGTTCACTAAATAGCCGAAGAAGAGGTCAATATGGGATTTTTTAGTAAAAATGATACTCCAGAGGCTGCACCTAATAAATCTAGACGGTTAGAGTGTTGGGATGCTCGTGATAAGTTTTTTGATTGTTTGACAGAAAACAAGATCGAAAATTCTTTGGACTTGCAAGAGAAACAGAAGGTTGAAAAGCAATGTGGGACGCAAAGAATGGAGTTCAAGAACAAATGTGTAGCCAGCTGGTTTAAATATTTCCAAGAGAAGAGGTATGGCGATATATTGAAAGAAAGAAGAATTAAAGAGTTAGAGGCAGAAGGTGCACAACCGTTACCTTTCAACTTGGGTCGATAAGTGACACTTGTTTTATTTCTTGTAAATATGTACCATTAGTCAATATAGGAGTCAGCGGAAAGCTTACATTGAATAGTACTGAAAGTTCGTTATCTTAAATGAAATAAGTCTATGTATGTATAAAGATTGGATCTCTTGAGCATATTTGCGATCTTGAAGGAGTCAATACATCTAGCACAGATCCCCACTCATATTCTCCTTTCTCCAAGACAAGGAACGTCAAATCAAAATTTACTGAGTCCCCGGGAAGAATTACCCGCTCTATATTACTCTGAAGAACACCATGAATTAATATTCGTCTATCTAGTGAAAGCTGGTATTTTATGCTCTGGACACTGGAGTTCAAAGGTGATGCTACTGGATAAGGAATCTGCCTCAAAATTCCACTAATAGGATATTTAGTGTGGTTTGAGATAGTGGTACGCCAAGTATAGAATTCATCAGACTCCAAAATAAAGTGACAACCTTCATGTTTCGCAATTGCATCATCGGCATCATTTAAAATAGTATTGAATATTTCAACTTGCGGGTACACCATTGCTTGGGCCATTCTATTCGTGAGATAAAAACTCCTCAAATGTATACTGCCCTTGCGCTTATACATGCTATCATGCATAGTTTCCCAGGTACCTTCCAAATGCTCCAATATGTGATTGCGTAACCAGAAATGTGACCTCATCGTTTCTTCTTCTTCTTCACTTATGTGAAAATTTTTGATATATTGTTTCTTCCTTAGGGATGGTATGCTCCTGCTCAAATCTATTTCATTCGTGGACACCCTTCTTAATGGTAGCAAGAACCTAGCTGTTTTTCCAGGGCGAATGGCTTCTTCTATCCTGAAATCTTCATCTGGAGCAAAGTTGAGATTCAACCTCGCTATAACGCTTTCATTCCAAGAATTCCTCAAGTCGACCACTAATAAACAGTATTTGGACTCTTGAGGCTCATGAGACGATTTTAGATTTATATACGCTAGTACCGTCTTGAAGTTCTTTGCCGACAGGTCACTTAAGTTGGACATCAATTCCTTAATAGAGGATGCAATTAAATGAATTAAGTCACAATTAACAACGTCTAGCAAAGGAACAACAGATACGTTTAGTGGAATGTGCATGAATTTAACAAATGTTTTTGAAAGGTCATCTACATTCTTATTCGCGTATTCCAATATGATCTTCAGCAGCTTCATGCCTTTCTTCCCTGTTATTTCATAGTCAATCTTAAGTTCGTCCTGAGGCTTAATAACTTTGTAATCTCGGCTTAGTATAGCTTTGTTAAGAATTTTGAAAGTCTTTTGGTTCATCAAGAGCCATTCTAATTCATATATCTCACTTGCCAGTAATACATGACCTGATGAAGTCAACTTCCTGTTAATAGGTTCCAAGGTAGAATCCCAAAAGGAGAATGACAAATAATTAATATCTTGGTCCGAGGAATTGGATAAAGAAATCGAAAATTTATATGTTTCCCCTTCAAGCAACATGATCCACCTATTTGCAATCAGAATTTCATTCAAGGTTAATGTTGGCTGCAGGGGTATTACGGTTAAACTTAACACTTTGGTCAGGACGCGAGATGTGATATCATTGAATTCTAAGTTATCTTGTGCCTTTTTTAACACATATTTATCCCTGAAGTCTAACTTACCTAGTCCTAAGTATTTCACTTTACTCAAGTCATAAGTAAGCTCTTTTTCAACTATTTGAAAGAATTGTGGTTTGCAATTGAATAAAGTAACCTTAAAACCTTTAATATTGAGTTCTCCTACCTTGAGAGGAAGAAACGCAACTGAAAACAGTTGCATTGATCTGCTAGGAACAATGAGATCAGATGTAGATGATAAAAAAGCGTTTGTTTGATTTTCAGTGCCAATGGAAGTTGAGGATTTCATTTGTTTATCAGATACAAAAGTCTTTCTTAACTTCATCAATCCATTTGGCCTATTCTGCATTTGTATAGCATGCCCTCCGATTGTAGCTAGAGGCTTAATTTGATTACCTAATGTTTTAATATCATCATCGGAGTCTGCAACAATTGATATGTCCATTATTTCAATCTCAAACGCAAATGGGTTTTGAAGTGTGATCTTTAATCTATATACTTCATCTTTCAACAATAACTTGTCCCTATTGATTGATTCTGATTTAGTCTTTTCATAAGGATTGAAAATTATAGGACCTCTGGGGAGGATTTGTGAGTTCAGTTTTTCTCGACTAAGAGACAGTGTTGCTCCGACAATCTGTCCCACATTATTAGAATTTTTTTCATACTCTGTAAAAGGCACCAAGTCATCTTTACTCTTATCGTTTATGAGCTTGGCTCTTCTAACCAAATACGGATCCCAATAAACGAAGTTGAGATCTAAGCTGCTCCTAGCAGACGACGTCAAAGTATAATCAATTTTGGCCTTCAATTTCAATTGATCATCGATGGTCAATGAGTTACAATATCTTGTAAGTAACAATGAACAAATTTCAAGAAGAAAGATGTGATCTTCCATAGCTTCTGCAAAATTCATACATAGCCTCAAAAGCAGAATTCTCAACGAGGTCCAAACACCTTGGGCATGATGTATCGCTTCAGAAATATCACTTTCACTCTCTTCTCCAATTCCGTAAACAACGAACAAGAAATTGAAAAGATCTCGAATGCTAGAGGCATGAAAACTTTTTGAGATATTCTTCTCATGACTATGTTCATGCAACGAGTTAAGATGAGGTAGTATGCCTACCAACAATATCCGAAGCATAAAAGCCTTTTTTCTAAGCAAACCCAAGTCTGAATACACAGTTGCTAGTGTTGAGTATATTCGACATTGGTCAATGATACTCAATTCAACCAACTGTAATGAAAATAGTTTGTCAATTTCACGTAGAATATCGTGTTTCAGAAAAAATGCAGCTCCATCAGATGATTTTTTTGGTATTAAAACAGTACCTTTAACTACGTTATCTAAAACTTCTGAACTCATACTGTTCCCCCCAACGAAAACACCTAGCATAAACTTGATATGCCTTAGAATACATTCAACGTAAACAATGTCTGGAACCATGCTTTCGTGATTGTTTGTGCTTAATTGATAGAAACTCGAAACCTTCGATGATATCATTTGAATGAGAGTAGGAAGAGGTAGTGATGATAATTCTGATATTGTGGCCAGGCTACTCGTACCAACACCACTAAAGCTAGTCATGGAATTCCTCGGTGATTGAGTATGATTAATAATGTCACTGGTAGATGGCTTACTGAAATTTGGTGAGGAATGATTTGCAGTGAACGAATCGTTTGATGATCTTTTGATTGTCAAACGTTCACCACTAGTACTCAGAGGAAATGAAGGTATTCTATTTCTGGAAATCTGTAGAACAGAGCTAATTGCAGGATTTAAATTTTGAAACGAATTGCCGGAGTAGTGAGATAACGTTAGAGCAACACCAAGACCTTCTAATGCACTCGCAAGCCATAAGTAATCTTCACAACTCTTCAAATTTGCAATAGCATCTCCAAATTGCTGAATTGCCTCCTGATAATTCCCTGCCAACAAAAACAAACTTCCCATCAATTTCAATTGTCTGCCTTTATGTGATTGTTGGGTTTTTTTCTTGACGTCCGTAGCAGAAGAAACTTGACCATTACCATTGTTTAATGTCATTTTAAAGGAGGTACTGCCTGAGCTAAGTCTCTTTTGTGCTTGATTTATTGTCTTAGTTAAAACATTAGTATTGCTAATAGACACAGGAGACCTTAAAGTTATATTTTGATATGATGACGCATATATATCCAACTTTGCCAAAAAATCACGACTAATATCACAAAATATTGTTTCTAAAGATGTTATGTTATATTTCATTGATCCATTGTGATAGAAGACTGCTTGATATGAATGGTCAGATGGAGGATTATATTCCTCGATTTTTTCTTTTGGTGTGTCAAAATAAATGACATTATGCACTATTGAACTGGGATTGGTCTCTTTCAAAGCTTTAACAGCTTCCAATCCTACTTTATTATTAATTGCGTCGTTATATTTGCCAATTCCTGTTATTATGAATGTCTTTCGGAATGGTTCTAAATCATGCAAAAATATTGATTCATCTTCAGGAGAAGAAGTGGTAAAATTGAACATTACCCTTCCATTGGGAAAGCTCTGTGGATTAAATAGATGCAAGCTCGAGGATGGCGGAATATCTAGTAGCCTTACCTCTTCTACTGATGAACGAATGAGTGATATGTATCGTAAAAAATCATTCGCCAGACAGCCATTTATGGGAACTAATAAAGTTTGGACCCTAGATGGCGACGTATAGCAGTATCTGTCCATGATATATGGCTCTGAAATCTCTTCATCAATGGACCGTAAGGATTCGTAGCGCTCTTTAATATTAATTTTTGTAGAATGTAGATCATATCCAGAAGTTTTTTATTGTAGCGTAAACAGACCCCGTCGTGCACATTGTTGCACGTCTTTTAAATCTCAACCTTCTGGAAGGCAAATTAAGAGCCTATCTCAGCATCAACATTTTCACTCTGTAAACCAAATAGACTTAAGGTTTAATTCATCTGATTACTCTTAGAGGTTTAAAAAGGAGCTTTTAGAATTCATAAAAGAAAAATGGGTGGATTAAGCTTTGACAATTATCAAAGAAATCAATTCTTGTCAACGAAAGGATTTGGCACACCAAAGGCTACATCAACAGGTACTACCATTGTTGGATGTAAGTTTAAAGGAGGAGTAGTTATAGCGGCAGATACTAGAGCTACTGCTGGACCAATAGTGGCTGATAAAAACTGCGAGAAATTGCACAGATTGGCCCCCAGAATCTGGTGTGCTGGTGCCGGTACTGCTGCCGACACCGAAATGGTCACACAATTGATAGCTTCTAACCTAGAATTACACTCGCTCTCACAGAACAGAAAACCGAGAGTTATAACAGCATTGACGATGTTGAAACAGCATTTATTTAAATATCAAGGGCATTTAGGTGCATACTTAATTGTTGCAGGGGTTGACCCAACTGGAGCTCATTTGTTATCGTGCCAAGCCCATGGATCAACAGATGTTGGTCAGTATCTTTCTTTGGGCTCTGGTTCTTTGGCGGCAATGGCAGTCTTGGAGACTAATTGGGAACCTGATTTAAGCAAAGAACAAGCTATAAAATTATGCGCTAATGCTATTGAGCTGGGTATTTGGAATGATTTAGGTTCTGGTTCTAACGTTGATATCTGTGTTATGGAAGTTGGCAAAGATGCTGAGCTACTTAGAAACTATTTGACTCCAAATGTGAGGTCGGAGAAGGCTAAATCATACAAGTTCGCCAGAGGAACTACAGCAGTCTTAAAAGAAAGTATACGCGATTTAGTTCATGTCGAAGAGCAAGTTATTACCTTTAATACTGGGTTGGATGCTATGGAGGTGGATGCTTAGTTCATTCTTAAGTCATTAAAATAGTATAATGTATATGAATTGTCTCTATTTTTGTGTAAAGTATGATCTTCTTAATGTTTATTTCTAGACTTTTCTACAACTCAAGTATATTTAATTTCCGTTTCGTAAGTCAAATTTAATTTCAAAGCACAGCACATTTAGTCATGGTGGTGAACAACCCAAACAATTGGCACTGGGTCGATAAAAATTGTATTGATTGGTCTAGAAAATATTTCAATGAGAAGTTAGTCGGTTTATCGGCATCTTCTGGTAACAATAATGTCTCTGTAAGTTCGGTTTCATCAGTTGAAGGCGATGTGGAAGTTTGCCAGCGCAAAGGAAAAGTTATTTCTTTGTTCGATTTGAAGCTCACATTGAATATTGAAGGATCAACAGCTAAGAGTAAGGAATTTAATGGGTCAATTATCATTCCAGAATTAGCTTACGATTCCACTGAGGATGACTTGCAGTTTGATATAAACATCTATAATGAAGACAGCGAAACGGAGGGCATGAGATCATTTATCAGATCCCATTTGGTTCCCAAATTGAGAGATATTTTGTCAAACTTCGGCAGCGATCTAATTTCTATACATAGCTCTGATATTCAATTGGCGTCCGATAAAGTTAATTCCACATATACTAAAGGGAATCAAGAGAAAGAGAAAATTCCAACTATTGATGCTGCTACAACGACCAAGGCTACTTCTCTGGCCAAACAAGAACAAGGAGCTGAATCAAAGTCGGCAACCACATCGAACGCTCCCAAATATAATACCTCAACACTTCATTTAGAGCCCACTTTTAATACAACAGCTGAGCAGCTATATGCAACATTGTTGGATGAAGCTAGAATTCTGGCCTGGACCAGGTCTCAGGTTTCAATTGCGAAATTTCCACCACCTGAGAAATCTACATTCAAATTATTTGGGGGTTCTGTTAGTGGAGAATTCCTCAAATTGGTACCCAATGAGCGAATTCTTCAACTGTGGAGATTAGAGGACTGGAAGACAGGACACTACGCTAAATTGGATATTCAACTTGCTCAAGGTGCTGGCGAAACCAAAATGATTGTTAAATGGTCAGGTATTCCGGTTGGCGAGGAAGAAAGAGTGAAGGAAAACTTCGAAAATTACTATGTAAGATCAATCAAGATCACTTTCGGTTTTGGTGCAGTTTTATAAAAGTTTTTATTATTGATCATAATTTATTAAGTCTGTAGGTTCACATTCCTAGAAGACGCTAGTGCTCCGAATTTTAATATAAAACATGTAGTAGTATGCGTGATAACCTGTGATCTGTTTTCCTGAAGCTGATCGCATGAATATGAGGTCAACTCTCTTAGTTTACACTAGACGAAAGAAAGATGCAGCAATCCACGGTCGTTATAAAGTAATTTTACCTGACTAAAACGAATTTCTTGAGGAGTGATTTATAAGTCAACTAAATAGATATCCTCTGAAGTGGTGGAATTCTTCGATAGAACCACTGCTCTCAATACTTTCCTTCATGACTAAAGAGTTGAATGCCAACAGTCAACAACTCAAAACGTAATCTATAGTTCGCAATAGCTGCAAAAACGTGTCTTTATATAGCAATGGTATATTAAAATTGCTCTAACTTTCTAACTATGGTTGTTCAATGACTTATTCGAACAATTATAATATTCTTTCTAATTGCATGTAACGTAAATCAAAGTAATGCATAAGATTCTGCGCATGTTTGTAGTGTCTATGGTTTCGTATCTTGATTTACTAGCAGAATGCAACAAGATCGCTTTAAAATGTGACCGTAATTCATTGTTCTCTGAATACCAAAGTGATTATGAATCACTGAAAATGCGGCCCAACTCATATTTTAGGCTCTGGTGGTCCTTGCAATTCGAATACACTGAGCTCCTGTAACGTTGACTCCAAAATTTCAATCTAGTAGGTAATTTTTGAACAGTCAAACTCAACATCATAGTTACAAGTAGTTCTTTTTTTTTGAGATCCTAAATATTATAGATCATGATAAGAGTTTCTTTAAAATGCATATAGTTCTGCCTTTCGATATATTCATTTATTTTTCTTAGCTTATTACGGTTAAAACTTAGGCTAACTTTTTGTTTTTTAGTCATCGTTATTATTTATTACCTCTCCTATCTATCTAGCATATCGTAACACTCTTAAAAAGCCCTTCACCTTTTTCGATTTAATATAATACAAGCACGGTTATCAAAATTAGATTAAGAAATACAATCATGTGATGTAAATATGATTACATGAGAATCATGGGTTGCGGATTTGTTATCCATAATTGGAAATAATTATGTGTCGACTTTTCCATGGACTTAGGTGAGCTGTATAAATTGATGATAGCTTCCTCGATCCTTCAATTAAATTAGTAAATAAATCAAATATGACTGAATCGACTCAAGGAAAGGTAAGTGATTTCCTATTTGCTCTCCGCTTATGCATGTTGCTGAAGTAACGAAACATGACGTTAAACGGCTTCATCTAACTACCTTGGAGGTTAGTTGCGATTGATGGATATTAACAAATTTTTTAGACAATTAAATGTAAAGCTGCCGTTGCATGGGAAGCTGGGAAGCCATTGAGCATTGAGGATATTGAAGTTGGGGCCCCAAAAGCTCATGAAGTTCGTATTAAGGTGTTGAATACTGGTGTTTGCCACACAGATGCCTACACGTTAAGTGGGGTCGATCCCGAAGGTGCCTTTCCAGTAGTTTTGGGACACGAAGGTGCCGGTATCGTCGAATCCATTGGTGAAGGTGTTACTAGTGTAAAGGTTGGTGACCATGTCATTGCCTTATATACTCCTGAGTGCAGGGAGTGTAAATTTTGTAAGTCAGGTAAAACCAATTTATGTGGTAAAATAAGAAGCACTCAAGGAAAAGGTGTTATGCCTGATGGAACTAGCAGATTTACCTGTAGAGGTAAAGAATTGTTGCACTTCATGGGTTGCTCTACTTTCTCTCAATATACTGTCGTAGCCGACATCTCAGTTGTTGCTGTCAATCCTGATGCCAAACCAGACAGAACATGTCTCTTAGGCTGTGGAATTACAACCGGTTATGGTGCTGCTACAATTACTGCGAATGTACAAAAAGGTGATAACGTCGCTGTTTTTGGGGCTGGTTGCGTCGGCTTATCAGTTGTTCAAGGTGCTGCTGAGAGAAAGGCTAACAAGATTATTGTCGTTGATATAAATGACAAAAAAGAACAATGGGCAAAGCAATTCGGTGCAACAGACTTTGTTAATAGTGCTAAGTTACCTAGTGGAACTACAATTGTCGATAAATTAATTGAAATGACCGATGGTGGTTGCGATTACACATTTGACTGCACGGGTAATGTTGAAGTAATGCGGAATGCTTTGGAGGCTTGCCATAAAGGTTGGGGTACGTCCATTATCATTGGTGTAGCTCCAGCAGGAAAAGAGATTCACACTAGACCATTCCAATTAGTGACTGGTAGAGTCTGGAAAGGCGCTGCCTTCGGAGGAGTGAAAGGTAGAACACAATTGCCTGGTATCGTCGATGACTATATGGAAGGAAAGTTGAAGGTGGACGACTTTATAACTCATAGACACCCCTTGGAGAAAATTAACACTGCATTTGATGATATGCATGCAGGTGATTGTATCAGGGCAGTTATTGATTTATAAAATGGGCTGCCGATATTGATGAATGCTAAATTATGATCAATTGATATATATATATATATATATCGCTTTGTATATTCGTATTTTAAATAGTCGGTCGCAAATATAAATGCATTCATCAGTCCTTTAAAGTTTCGGTTTCCCATAGGGACTTTTGCACCTGTATTGTATATCACGTGCTTTGGCACGAGCCGGTCTAGTCGGCTCGGAGTGTGTATGAGTCCGAAGACACTACTTCGGCACCGAAGGATCGAGCATTTCATTGGTTGAGAAGTTGGCCTCTAACTTTTATGGAAGCATCAAAACTCGCGGATGCTAGTTAGTCCAGACAAATTTAATAAAGATCCCTTAAAATTTTCAGAGTTTACTTATCACTATTCGTAGAAGTTGAAGAAGTTAAGTAGACGTCATTGAAGATGTTCAAGCAATTAGTCAGAAAAGGACCAAGTTCCTCAGTTGCGGCCGTTGTACCAAAATTTACCAGATCGCTTGTTGCAGGTCAGTTCACCGGAAAGAAAGGTCCTAATGGTAAATATACTGTTACTTTAATTGAAGGTGATGGTATTGGTGTCGAAATATCCCAGGCAGTTAAGGAAATCTATGCAGCAGCAGGAGTACCTATTGAATGGGAACCGGTTGACGTTACCCCTTTGTTGATTGATGGTAAAACTACTTTACCTCAACCAGCCGTTGATTCGGTTAACAAGAACTTGGTTGCATTGAAAGGACCATTGGCCACTCCAGTTGGTAAGGGTCACACATCCATGAACTTGACATTGAGAAGAACATTTCAATTGTTTGCTAATGTTCGTCCATGTAAGTCGATTGTCGGTTACGACACTCCATATAAGAACGTCGACACCGTTTTGATTAGAGAAAACACTGAAGGTGAATATTCTGGTATTGAGCATACCATTGTTCCTGGTGTTGTGCAATCAATCAAGTTGATTACCAAGCCAGCTTCTGAGAGAGTTATTAGATATGGTTTCGAGTATGCTAAATCTATTAACAAGCCTCATGTTGTCATTGTTCACAAGGCCTCAATCATGAAGTTGTCTGACGGTTTGTTTGTACAAACAGCTAAGGAAATTGGAAAGGAGTATCCAGACGTGAAATTGAGCTTCGAATTATTAGACAATACTTCCTTGAGATTAACTGCTGATCCTACTGACTATAAAGATGTTGTTATGGTCATGCCTAACTTGTACGGTGATATCATGTCTGATTTGTCGTCTGGTTTGATTGGAGGTTTAGGTTTAACTCCATCCGGTAACATGGGTAACAGAGTTTCTATCTTTGAAGCCGTTCACGGTTCTGCTCCTGACATTGCTGGTAAAGGTTTAGCTAACCCAACCGCCTTGTTATTATCATCTTGTATGATGTTGAGACATATGTCATTGAACGAGGATGCTGACAGAATCGAAAAGGCCGTCAAGAAGACCATTGCATCTGGTCCAGAAAACAGAACTGGTGATTTGAAGGGTACAGCAACTACTGAGCGCTTCACTGAAGAAGTTATCAAGAATTTATAGATTCAGCGTTAAATTCTTTAACAGATTTTTAATATTTCGTCGTGACTTACTCTGAAACTATATACAACTGCAATCAATAAATTACATTTTGTATCTAAATTTGTAAAACACCTGTTTATTTGTCGAGATCATTCAATGCTATATTAGTGCCTTCTACAATCGCCATATGTTCAATATCATGAACTCTGGCCTCATAAGCCTCTAAAGGCTCGCCTCTTCTTAAATCTATCTCCTTAACAAGAAGCGGTGCACCTTTATCAACTTCCGTAATAACTCTGTGAATCATCACACCACCCTTCAGAATTTCACCGTTTTGGCCAGCTTTCCATGCTCTTTCAATGGCATGTGTACCTTCGAAGGCTCCAGGTAATGCAGGATGTAAGTTAATGATCTTAATTCCTGCTTCATCTAGTGGCGTTAAAATAGAGGGCGACAATATAAGCATCCAACCGGCGCACACTATTATATCTGGTCCTTTATAGCTTTCCAAGTAGCGGCCCTCAACATTTCCGTAAATTATTAAGTTTGCCAAATCTTTGTTAAATTTTTCACGTCTGATCTGTCTCTCCTCTTTTTGTTCTTTCCCCGTTCCCTTGTAGTAGCTTTTAAGACTATGAGTTACTGCTGGAATCGAAGCATTCGCAGCTCTTTGCAATCCGTATGCCGATTCACTAGATGAAATAACTTGAATGATTTCCCCACTCAACTTCCCTTGAATCTGTGAGTCTATCAATGCTTGTAAGTTTGATCCAGAACCGGATATTAATACTGTGATCCTACGAACCATTTGACTCTAATTATGGATGCATCATATTATCTTCTTCAGACCTCAGCTGAAAAATTTCATAGATACAAATTCCAAAAACCGGTTCAACTACCGGTCCAGACTTGCGACATTTTGAGTAACTTTCGATACACCTTGATGTCGTAATTTGGGACCTCAAAGAGAGCTAACACGATAAAAGGATCAACACTGTTAATTGACTCGCTGAGAATGAATAATAACTATTCAAATGCGTTGTACCTCTTTAAAATCTTACAGCTTACAAGAGTCCTATGACTTTTAATTAGCATTGGCATTTGATCCTGACATTGTTCTTTACCATCAGCAAAATTTACTCAGTAAATTACCTCCCGGTCTGAAACATACTGCGAGATTCAATAGGAAAATTTTTTTTTTTTTTTTTTTTGTAACTACTCCCATCTCACTAGGC